CGTGTTGGACTATTCCTCCGCACTCTGCCTCAGCGTAGTATCATCGATAAAGCGAAACAAACGCTCTGTGATCAGGCTTTATCAAACGAGGGCCTGCAAAGCTCAAGCGATCTGCCACGCTCTTCGCCCTTGCAAGTATTCCAAGACCACGGAGCTGAGCTAATGAAGCGATATATGCACCAAGTCAAGTTCTCTGCCTATGAAGCTCGAGGACAAGGCGCGTATCTTCACGCTCGCACAGAAAACTCAAGTTGGCCAATCTCGGAGAGGGAATCGTTGGAGTGGGGTTTCCAAATAATTGTGTTTGCGTTTCAATCATCATACATGGAGAGAAAGCCGAGAGCCAGGAGAATCACTTCTCAGTCCGTATGTGGACTTTGGATAGGCAGTATGGAAACTGCAACCTGGGAATCTAGCAAGCAGGCATTCACGTGAAGACACTCACGCGCAATACTACGCTCTGCATCGTGGAACCCTTACGTGGTATGAAAGCGGGCTGAAGGTGAAGTGATCAAGCTCAAGAAGCGAGCGGCCTGGCTCCCGAAACCGACTACAAACGTCACCAGCCACCCTGTCAGCTGCCAGGTAACAGGCCCCTGCTTCAAGAGACTCGCCATGCATCCCTTTTCGGCAACTATCAATCATCGTAGAACGACGCCTGGGGTAGCGCGCCGGGGTGATCCCTGTCAGCCGGGGTCAGGGTGGTCATTCGGGAGCGTCTAGGCGGCGTTGGGACTAGCTCGAGGACTCATTGGCTGCTTCATACCTTGTGTTAGAGCAGCCAGGCCGTATCTGGTCAAGACCCTGCCCGGAGGCAAGATTTGGGCGTTTCTGCCCTGCTTGTATGGCCCTTGGATCGATCCTTGCCTATTTGCAGAGTCTGGAAGAGCGTAGGATTGCTTTGGAGTGTTGCGGGTCTCTGCGGCCACCGCGAACCATTGCAATCCTTGAGTCATTCACAGTTCACTACAGATCCGCAGCTTCTCGTGGCATGCTGTAGCTTGCTCGGATCTGAATGTACAGTTGGAAGCATTTCCAGTGACAATGACATTGTATTCACTGGGCACCGGTCAAGGGTGTTGATCATGCACAATGAAGGTCGGCCCGCACAGGCTTTCGTTCATAAACTTAGTCCTATCAAGTATCAGAATTGGGTACATTGAAGCTGAACCCGAAAAGACTGGCTTCCCGATTGCCGAGTCTGTGCATCTCTTGCGGTTCGTCTCAAGTGTTCCAACACAGTTGCGCATAGTGGCGCGAGAAGCATGGGAGCACGTCTTCCAGGAACCAATCTGCACCGTGTCTCCGATATTCAGGGCTTAAGCCCAACACAAAATTGTCCCATCGATCGGCCGTCGAGTCATTTAGCTCCGCTCTTCGATCTTTTCCCGCCGCCGAGGATACTCAGACACCACTGCGGTGTATGGTTGAAATCAGAACCCACAACGGAGCCAATTACGACGGCCCAGTCGATTACAAGTCAGACTACAGCACACCAGTAGCCGTGCACAGCAGTTAGGACAACAGATCCACGGTGGGTCCAAGCACGACTACCCCCAATTGTCTAGAGGAGACGGTGCGGTGTACTACCATGTCCCATCACCTAGAAGTTTTGCGCAACATTCCTCCTCTCCTTCCTCCTCAACTCCCTCGTCCTCACCTACCGATCCCTCCGCGACGTAATAGCTCTCGTATTCGCATCCATCACGCTTCCCTGGCTTGGGCGGCCGATTTTGCCGTGGCTTGACGGAGGGTGATTTGCGGCGCTGCTGGGAATATCTAAAGGATAATGGGAAGGGAGCTGGAGAAAGCCGCGCTGAGCTGTAGCAGTGTGAGGCGGGTCTCGCGGTCCAAACGCCGTGGTTATGAAAGTGTAGGCGGTATGTGAGGTGCAGAAGGGGCTAGAGATCCCATTTGATCCTGGACATTAGATTGGTGTGAGGGTCTGGATGAGGAGGACTCAAAGATGCAGCTCGGCTTTCCAAATCAGTTGGAGGGTTTTGAAGCTTGGATATTGGCGAGAGAAGTGCATTTATGAGGATGGAAAGGGTTAACAAGGGCGCGTTTGCTTGTGTCACTCACTTCGCGATATATAAGCGCCTGTCTATCAATCAAGTCAATACAGTAAAGTATCAGAACACCATGCCGGTTCCGAATTCAATACAGGGATTCGAGGTCGCATTGAGCACTCAAGAAGTTCATCAGGGACAACAGATGTTAGATTCTCTTCCGACAGTACTGTAGATTGACTACCACAAAGTCCTCCCTGTGTACCCGTACACGGCCTCATTCTTCACCTCCGAGTGCTTCGAAAGATACTGTAACACACCCCTACACCTTCCACCAGGTTGTCGTGTACCATGCCGATTGCTCTCGTTGGGCGGGAACAGGTCTGCAGATCGAAAGTCAGCGACAATATTGGCATGTGGTAAAAGGACCTTAACATGATTACATACCAAATTGCTGTATGGAGTCCATTGCTTACATCGCCTAGACATTTTGTCTGGTGGGAGAATAGCTCCTCGTGCGATTGCAATGGTCGATCACGGAGTCTTCTCTCTCGACTGCAATATCCAGTTCAAAAAAGAAAGCTGACGCTCTGGGAACACTCATGAATGGTGAAAGTCGATGGCAACCAGTCTTCCTGACTTACTCAGGAACATTTGCAAGTCGCTTCTGCCAGGCCCAAGAGTGCGTTTCATGGATATGCCTTGTCCCCAGGAAGATACCCCGACCAACAAGTACCCTTGTGACCCAGTCAAGCTGCGAGAGCACAGGTGCCCTACAGCTTATTCAAGGACTTCCAAGGCGCACTACAGCGGGTTTCTTCCGCAACGGCAATGTGGTCCCGATGACCGAGGATAGCTCCAGCAACCCTCTCGGACAGGACGCCTGAATGAGCTCAGACGACTGCCGTCCATATGTCATCCGACACTCGTGGCGCTCGCTGGGCTCTCGCAAGCTTTCTGGGACATTGCTTTGTAGTGAGGATGCGGAAGCGATTCAGCAGCCTACCTGGCCGTTGTGGAGACTGCGTTGTTGCTTCCCGATCCTCCAGCTTCGACATACTGGGTTGAGCATGGAGAGGTTTACCTCCAAATGCAAATGCTGAAGCTTGAGGGGTGACGGCCATAGGTGGAGTCGAAGTGTATTGTCCGGCCGCTCAAGGAGAGTATGAAGCACCTGGTGCTGTTGAGTGTCCTGAGACTCGAAGGTGCGCGTTCAATACATCGCGTTGTGGTGTGAGCGACAATCAGCAACAACCTGAATAACCCTACAGGCTGGTGGACGTACCTGCCGATAGGAGTCAGCGTTGTTCGCTCAGTAGATGTGAAGCGTTTCATACGACAAAGCCGTAGTTGAAACCTTTGGACTAAGACTCCTCCAATGCAGCGGTCTGAACATCGTAAGAGCATAACGTATCGCACTCACTGGGAACTCATACCCGAATTGCTTCCTCTGAGAGTATCATGGGATCTTCGCGGTAGCAGGGAGGAGGGCAACAGTAGTCTACCGGAGGAGCACAGCGGAAGAATTGACGATGAAGAATACCACACTCTTCAGTGCGCACACTCGATCCAGCCGACGCCAACGAAGGCACTTTCATGCAATTGATAGAACAAGATGTCGCTGTATGTGACTGCGCGGTAGCAGTGCTTCACCATCCTCTAAAGTACGAATATGTTGGAGGAGTAAGAAAGGGTACTGCGTTGGGTTACGAAGTACTGGCTCTGTCTTGTCAACGCCCTGGACCGTGTAAAAACCTGATTGTTCGTCAGTGACCTTTGAACGTTCTGGTTCTTACCATCCCGGCAAGATCCACGAGATATACTTGCTATGCTCAGGAATACGGGACAATAACTAGAACCATGGGAGCAGCAGCGTTATTGCGTGAGCTACGGCTAGGGCAACAGGCACGACAGATTGCCAACAGAAAGACCGACAACGGAAAGAGTACCAGCAAAATGAGTGTCAATAGACATGACACTGCCGTGCTGAGAGATTATAGAGTCAGCCTCACCCATGTCAACATCTAAGCAAGTGCGGGCTCGGCTGGCAATCGTGATTATCATGATGTTCACTCCACAGTCGGACTATCTTACGCAGCAAGGCAGGGAGGCAAGCTCCCTCATTAGCGGAAATCATACGACCTGCGACGTAGGGGTTAGGGATAGACGTGGTTGCTGTGGGGAAGCTCTTGACTTGCGCTGCTCCAGTCCAGCGCCGTGAGTATCACATCATTGATGAAGGGACTCTGACTGGGATATCTGGGTTCTGCGGCGATCGTCTCCTTGACAGCCCTCATGACCTGGGTCGACAGCGTGTAGCGAGCGCCATTCGGCGTATTGTACGTGCCCGCTGCCAGAGTTGAACTGCCTCGAGATCTTGTTTGGAGACATTCGCCGGAAGGCGCCCTGCGGATGAAGAGTCAGGATCTCGTCAATCGCTTGGAATCACTTCACATAGTTCATGCCGGTCGATACAACCCGTCAGACAGATAAGAGATGACGAGGTGTTGCTCTGAATTGCGCAAGGGCCGAGAGATAACAGAGCGTGATAGTTTAAGAAAAAGAAGTCCGCTAAAGTCACCTGCGCTCTTTGTCTCAGGACAATAACCAACGAGGCTCATTGTCATCCATTGAACTTGATTTGGTTTACTCAAGCTCGAGGCTGCTACGATTGCGTATTCATGACTTGATAGAACAGGCCAAGCACAGTTTCACGAAGATCCTTAAATATGATTGGATTTAATCAGCAAAACCAGTGGAGGGGGAGAGCCATTAGTAGCATCTGCCATGTTTGCCTAATCATCCATACTCGCGAGTGGTCTGTTCCCTCCAATACATCTCTTAAAAGAAAGCCAAAAACGCCGATCTTGCTATGGCGGAGAAGCATGCAACATTTCAACGTTCCGCACCCTATCACCAGATTCTCGAGTTCTCGCGCCAAGAGTGAGATCCACACGCGTCCTGCCCTCTCAGGTCCCTAGATCCCGCTTCTCACTCCTCATCTCCAGCCTTCTCTGTTGGCAGTGCCACCCCTCCCTCTTCATCTTCGTCCTCATCGTCGGCCTCGGTCTCCTCGCCGTCAACCTCACGACCCTCATTCGGTCCTGACTGCACCGGTTGCTGAGATACGGCAATGAACGACCCTCCCTCGATCTGTGGGATCCCTCTCACATCCTGGATGTTCCGAGGAACATGCGGCGAGATGAAGGACCCTCCCGCAATCTGAGGCGTACCGCGGACGTCCGTGATACCTGGACTTACTTCCTTCTTGAGGGCGCGAGAGGAGCGGCGTTTGGGCAGCTTAGGGACGGTGAGGAAGTTGCCGAAGGTTGCCTTTCTGGTCGGCGTGGCGGCCAGGTTGGAGTCGTCGAGATCTTGAGCGGAGGGGTCGTTAGGGAATGTGGCTGCTGGAGATACAGCGGTGCTCTTAGAGATGCGCTTGCGGTGAGCGCCGACTGAAACGGCTTTTTTGCGTGGTTCTGGCGCGTTGTCCGTACCGATGATGAGAAGGTCGTCTGGCTGTTCGGCTTGGTATCGTGGTGCTGTGCGAGGAGCTCGTGGTGTCGGCTGTGATTCGGTGTCGTGAGACAGAGGATGGGCGTTGATGTTGTCGTCGCCGGCGGAAGGTGTTGGTTGGTTATTCATGTTGGAGGTCTATCGTGGTGTCTGAGGGCAGTAGATCTTATTGAGGAGTTTAGGAGAAGAGTTGGTAGGTTTGAGTTGGAGGAGGAAGATTTGATCGAGGGTTGTAACTTAATGCCATTGTGAAGAGTTTTTATACGTGAAGACAGTGGTGAAAGCCACCAGGCGGTAGTCGACGAACATAAGTGAATCGTTCATTGTCTTATTCGTACAGCATCAACGATCCTGAGGACGACCGCACAGGTGAACTTTTCAGGATATCAAGGAACAGCTTGAAATGTATTATGCATACTCTTCGAAAAGAAGTGTGTAATATCTATCGCAGAAAGGGTGGTTAGCGTTTAATGTCGCAACAGCGCTACACGAGCTGGACAATGAGGTTTAAGAGGAACAACCCCAGAAGGACCAACAGTTTGCTAACATCAAGCTGAGTGCAAACTGACAGCACGTGGGGTTTGACGCCGGCTTTAGATCTGCTACAACCGTGCACCAAGAATCGCCCATCAAACCGCTCTGGCAAGTTTTGCTAATACCGTTTCCGTCCTGACAATTGCGTCGGCCACAATTCTGCCATGAAATCTACAGTGTCAGCAGCAGTGGGAATTGAGGACACCCCTTGGCCATCTGAGTGCGCGTGCACTTAGCGGTCGCCCGGGCCATGCTGCCCAGCGTCTTTTGATCTTCCCTGCGCAGGAACCCCTTGAATCCACCAAGCTGGGCATCAGCAGGCGGATAGACGATCGGACCTCCTGAACTGTCCCATTTCACACGCGATGCTCGGTCAAAGACCTCTTTCATGAGTTTAGCTGGATCAGAAACTATCAAGTCACCTCACGGTTGCGGAGCACGCTCGAGGGCGGCCATCGGCGTGAGATCACTCCTGATTGTCTTGTAAAAGTGACGGAGGCGACGGCCCTGTTCTTTGTTACCCATGAAAGTGCGCACCTAGCGTATTGCCCCAGCCATTTCTTAAACCTCGACGAAGGTAACGCCGGTGGCGCGTTGGTTCCGCATGTCCAGTGGGAAGAAGACGCCGTAGTACGCAGACGGCTAAGAACGTTGAACTACAACGACTGCTTTGGTGGGAACGGAGGTGGTTTCGTTATCAGTTGGTAGACGTCATAGTAGGCCGATGGCTATAGATACTGAGCCAGATGTTATCTTTGGTGGGATTGGAGACGAGTTCGTTCCTACTACAGCCGTACGGTGGGCAGAGATACTGATCAGCATCACCTCAAGCTGGCTAAACCTTTCTTCCGAACTCTGCAGGACACATTTAAGCCCACTCAATGAGGACGGAAATTTCCAATTGAGCAGAAGGGCAAAAGCCTCCCTGATTTTGATTTTCAGCGCGAATATGAACCATGAAAACGTGTCGTGTAGGGTCGATTCATCCTTCGATTCGGATATGGTATGCACGTATGAGCCGGCGCTCCACTTTCACAAGGGAGGTACTCTAAAGAGAGCTGCGAACCCGTGGTCAAAGGGCTCGTTGCGGTGGGATCCGCGTGCGAACCGGATAACCAGGCGCAATCGCATGCGGTGGGAGGTGTAGAAAGTTGTCGTGTGATAAGAATCAGTACTATTCACGGCTTCCACCATTTGAAATGCGGATGTCGGAGCAACCCACCCGAAGTGATGTTCCGCATATCCATAGTGCTCTTGTACTCCATGAAGCCGAAGCTATGCATGAGCTTGATCCTGGTTGTTTCGCCGGTGCCTCGCAGTCAGAAGGTCTAAACGATGCGTACTCAAGTGAGAGGTAAAGGTGCAGAGCGTGTGCCGTAAAGGATGAAGATCGGTTCCAGGTTTCTGGGCCGTTGCAGCAGCCTCAGCCCAGTGCTTGGTACCTGGATACCATGCAGTTCTTAGTTGGTGCAATGATTTGCCTACTTGATTGCCATCTCTGATAAGGCCTTGGCGCTGTGGTCCGCCTACATATGGAGCTTCCAACTCGATACGCAATCGGGAAAGCTGCTATTTGATTGGCGCAGCTACCCAGTATATGTGACAAGTGGAGCGAAGTCGGACGGGGTGTAAAGGCGCAGCTGAGGCTGCCCGATGCGATGCCTGGATCCAGAGATCTTGAGACTAGTTGGGTTTTTCAAATTGAGGCCTTGGAGACTCAAGGCTGTTGTGGTGGATGAGTAAGTGTTCCGAGTTGGACAGTGATCCGTGAGTGGGGTGTGTGGAGGTTATGAGAGAAGCTGCCGAGATGATTCTGTGTTACGGCGGTAGAGATAGCGAAAGCTGCTTTGTTAGCACCTTTTAACGTTGAGTCTGCCGGACTTGGATAAGAGAACTCAAGTACGAACAAGTGTGTGAAGGTGAGGCGGTCGGTTTGCAGTTGGAACTAGTCGATCTCGGTAGCGCCACGAAAGCAGAGGGCAGCGATGGCCATAGCAGTAGAGGAGAGGGTCAAGATATCAGGTATCTTGACTGTGAAGCCGCCTCTGCACGTCCGCTAGCGAATCCCGAAGAGAAGCGTAACGGCTGGACCACCCAACTCGGTGCTATCACGCCAGTCAGCTCCAATCTCCGCGCAATCAGAAGAGCAAAGAAGAAGGAAGAAGTGCTACTCACATCAGCTTACGGATCGCCCTTCAAGGGAATGTGGCGTGATGTGTTTCAACCTCATGCCAGCTAGATTCAACACCACAGCTATCAGGTACTCTTAAACCGCCCACGTAGTCCGTAGCGCATAGAATGTACTGTACTAGTTCCGTGTGGGCTAATGCCACTCAGGCTGAACTTCGAGAAGGACTTTGCCATCCGTGAGATGGATGAAGAAGAGGCGACCAGAGCGCGGTCGGATGGACTTGCGCTGTGACGGCGGTTGCACGTTATGTTTCGCGACCTTGGCAAACACTCATTTCAATGTGCTTCAGCAGATCAACGAAATGCGCCTGTTCAAGTCTTGAGTTCAAAGCTCTGAAGATTGTATGAGAAGCGTTGAAGATCGCCTAAGGAGACAAGTCTTCTGTTTACTATCTTATGAGAGGCAAAAAGCGTACTGCTAGTAGAGATAAAAAACAATGCGGTCGAGAAAGTTTCCGCAGAAGCTGTTGTGACCTCCATCTTCCCGAGCGCGCAAGCTCGCTCAAATCTCAATCGGCAGCTGTCGAACTCTCCACTGCTCCCACTCGTGATCAGGGTTCTGAACATACTCGCGAAACTTTGCTGTTACCGAAGTAGCACTGATGAACGCACCGTCATGCCGACATGCTCTTCGCTCATGCGCGCGTCTGAATTGGGGAGAAGCTGAGCAAGGAGAGCATCATTGGGAGATAGACAACGGATTTTTGATTTGAAAAGAGAGTTGACGGATGGCGAGCGCGAGATTCCTTATGTGTGGGTCCATGGCGAAGGCCTTGAGAACCTCTCAGCTTCCAGTTACTGTTCACAGAGTCAGTCTGGCTGATGTGTCCACACAAGATGCTCACTGTCGTACTGAAAAATCAGTTCTTTGTTTTCTTCTTTGTCCACGTCCGCATCTTCGACACAGCGTCGCAAGTAGCTAGGAAGCAGACGACGGCGACAGTCCTGGCGACGACCTTTAGGCGGAGCCTTGTAGCCATCACTGTAGGCTTCTCGACGAGGTATAAGGTTGAAATTCGCTGCAATAACGCTCAGGTAGAATCTGAAGAGAGTTGGATATTGAATACCCGTCTTAGTCGTGCGAGAGGAGAAATTTACATCAGCGGTGCTGCGTGCGGCTTGGCTCTGGTTGTTTCGCATCAGCCAGCATAGGGTGCCAGATACGCGCCTGATCCAAGAAACACTGCAGGATATTGAAGTGGAATTGGAATTCAGCTAGGCAAGTTGCTTGCTGCGGTGGCCTTGGCTTCGATCGCGGGGGAATGATTGCTCGGCACTGAACAGCTAGCCACGGAGACTTTTGAAAATGCTAAAGCTTTAGTTTTTAGGCGCTCTCATTCGGAGATACACTAAGCGAGTGCGGAGACAATCTTCGGGAGAGAATAAAACTGGATCAACTCACAACTCCCTCGCCTGGACAGAGAAGTCAAGAGGGAAGTAGACGCCTGTAGAATAGGAGTCTAGGCAGACACAATATATCTAGCCGTAGCAAGTGTGTGAGGCGGAAGGCGGCAACTGGCAGAGTGCTATTGGGGGTGGGGAGTGCAAAAGCTGGGATTCTTGGCAAGTGATGCCGCTGACAAAGGCATAGTTACTGCATCTACAAGGCCACAGAGAGGCATCATGAGGCTTTTCAAATCAGTACGGGCGTCAAATACTCTCTTCTGGGGTGCCCGCATGTAGTTGTCATCGTTGGTTGAGCCCGTTCAGTAGTATCAATGCAAAGCAACATATCTTGTCGCAAAACCAGCCAGAAGCTCAAAGCCTGAGTCGAATGCTCGTCTACCAGATGAGTACAGGAAACGTGTATCCAGATCGCTCCCTGTTCAGCTTCGTTCCAGTAACACGAAGCTTGTCAAGTGCCAGAATCTTGAGTCTTAACCTTCCTTTTGAACCTCCCTCAAGCTCTTGCGCCCTTCATCACAGGTCTCCAACCCATGGCCTCAGCCCATTGACCATAGCATCTTTTACGATGCCAGCCCATGCCCATGAATGCTCCGCCGTGATGATATCGACCTCCTTTGCCATGCTCACGACGTCAATCCTGTGCAGATATCGTCCGATCCATCGTGCCACAGCCGTGTCGAGTGCACGGTTATTATCATCAAGTTCGTAGCCGCTGAAGTCAAGCTCCAGCATCTTCAGGTTCTTGAATGGAAGCTCCTTGAGGATACTGAAGTGGTATTCGGCTCTCTCGTGCGACAACTCTACCTCTATCCACCGCACCTGCTCACGCTGCGGGGTGTTGCGCTGAACATACGGATGCACAACACGTCGGACAGGACTACTTAGTACTGCTGGAGGAGGCTGATTATTATCCAGCTTCTTGTTCATGATGCCCGGCAGCTCAATGATGATGCGGACCCTCCAGAGTAAAAGAAGCGGATCCGGTATGAAGGGGAACGTTGATCTGCATAATCCCGGTAGCCAGAGCACTCCACCGACCTGAGTGAGTATGGAGCGCTCCGGATTTGCCTCGACCCGAAAGCTCGCCGAAGGTAGCTGACGGGCATGGACACCCGGCGGCACTGGAAGGTAAGACTGGTGGTCCGTTCTTGATGTCGAAAAGACGAAGTGTTCTCGCGTGAGAAGGGCTCTCAGGCCGACCACGAGGAACCTATACGACACAGATAGGAACCTCAGGTTCCGAGGAGAGTGCATCTCTGTTGTGCCGCTAAAAACGAGACTGAGGATGTACTCGAAGATCTCATTTGGTAGCATCCAGGTAAGGTCTGGTCTTTCGGGATCGGGATCGACAATCAGAGGTCTTGTATCGCGGTGGCCTGCTTTCGCTTCCTGCGCATCAAGACTGTTAGCGAAACGGCTATCTATCTGAAGTAGAGCTGCATCCTTCTTACCCTTTGGGAAGCTCTAATTGCCAGCTTTTGCAGACCTTCAAACAGCGGTCGCCGTGGCTTAAACAAGCTCATGTACTTGTAGTACGAATCCATGGTCTCCTTCCGCATTTCGGGTGTAGAGCCCCAGAATGCTGTCCTAAGCAGTAGCTGGACAGTGTAATGGTCGGGAGTCACAAGTTGAGTTCCTGTTGTTGCCGTGGTCGCCATAGTCTTTCGAGTGTAAATCGCTGCTCTACTCAGACAAGAAGATTCGTTCAAGATAGAGGTCCTTCAAGTTCAAGTGGTGGAAGGATAATCTAAGGTTGTGGGGTGGAAATTGATTTGCTTCACGGATACCCTTACTGTTTCTTGGCAGCGATTCGACTCACCGTAATTATAAGGAAAGTGGATAGAATATATATTCACGGGCATAATGCTGAGCTTTACAGCCAAGCCAGCGCACACGGTCCTGGCAGTATAATGCCGAGTGGCAGATGCTGGATCATGCTTCGTTTATAGGGTTGAGATGTTTGCCGGATTGACGCTGAAGCAGGTCAAGTAGTGCTTGTCTGGAAGCCGCTACGAACTGTGGACCACGGAATGGTCGGGATACAACAGATTGAGTAAAGCGATCTCAACCGGCGACGATGGCGAATCAAGCATTGGTGTTAAAGCGAAGAAGAGCTTTGGCAAACACTATTTCAGCTTGCTTAGAAGCAGCTGATACTAGCGAAGTATACAACTCACCAGTCACGTTCGCTCTGCTACCGTCTAACAACCACTTGCGATTGCGGCAAGCTTAGTTACTGGCGTTTGATTGTTTTGTACGTATCACGGCATCATCTCATCGCCGCTCTTTCCTGCAAGATTCTGGAACGCTGGTCTGTGTTCTCTACGCGATGCAGCATTACGCAGTGACAAATCCAAACGCATTATCCAAAAAGTCTCCAAACTTCCGTGACCCACCTCGCGATCATTAAGCCGTGGCAAATGCAGCTGCACGAGGCGAGCCAGTCTCAAGGATCGCCTTGATGACCCGCACAATGTCTCGCTCTTCGCCCGGAAACCCGATCTGTCTTGTCCTCCTCCTGATCCGGATGCAACGCAAGTACTTCCCAATGCAAACTGCCCACAGCCATGCGCAATCCGGCGAGTTGTGAGTGCGGAGGCCACCAAAACCGAGCTCCAGCCTGTGAAAGTTGTTGAAAGGCAGCTCGTCTAGCACGCTGAGGTGGTAGTCCGCCTTGCAGAGCCTCATGTCCGCTAGATACCAGTCCGCCTTCTCATCCATAGAGGCACCCGTGGTGAGATACGGGTGCGTGAAGGGCAGATCTCTATAGCCAAAGCCAGGGCCCCTTCGTTGAATGGCAGGCCACAAGATGTGTACGATTGGCGGAAGGTCGAAGTTGATGCGCAGGTTTCTGATATAGACGAGGGGATCGGCTGAGAGACTCAGTGGTGAGAGCTTGGCCAAGGAGTCCAGCGCAAGGAGACCGGCAGTCTGCTGGAACTTTGAGACTTCTGGACTAACAATGTGATGGAGGGAGGTGTGGGAGTGGACGGGGATGTGCCCCCTATCAGCCATAACTCAGAAGCGCGGGCCTCACAACGTCCATCCAGCTCGGCGGAGGAGAATACGATCTGCTGGCTGCTGAGGATGCAGTGGATGCCGAGATTGAGTAGTTGGCGGCAAGCCATGAGTCCAGAGAGGTCTTCTATGTGGCGGGGATCTGACGCACTTTCGCAGAAAACGAAGTGCAAGATTCGGCCGAGGATCTCGTTCGGAAGTGATAATAGTGCTCGCTTCTCGGACTGATCTCGCGATGGGGTGTCAAGGTTGTCGTTGCTTGGGACGTTCCTCTGCACATCCATCGTCATCGAGTGCTACACAATATCAGCATAACTCGGCTAGTCACAAGTGATGGAAACTCTGACCATTGCAGAAAGATCCTCGAGAGCTCTCAGGAGTCTTGGTGTACTCCTTCCAGCCAGCATCAGCTCGTAGTACTCATCGGTCTTTCGACGGCGCTCGGCGGGAGAAGTAGCAGCGAGAATGTCCTCCAACAGCCTGCTTGGAGAGGATGTTGCCATTCCGGATGATGTATGTGAGATGCTGATAGCAAGAAATGGGTGTGCGACAGAAGAGGGGGTGAGTTTTCTGAAAAATGATGGGAAAGAGTAGGGGACAGGACTGAATAGTGAAAATGGATGTTGTGGGCAGAATGATGCTCTTACAATCACGTGTTTTTACTTCACAAGATCTCGGTGAAGCGCATGAATCTCGGTCCACCACGCAAGCATAAGTGCATCTATACGATACACTCTGATAATGATATACTCAATGCCTCGGCGAACTGCTTTAAGATATATTACCGAGTACTGGTGGAAGCTGTCCACGAATTGAAGTGTCATAGAGCTGTACATCAGCCGTCTATTATACATTCCCTATCTCTAGCAATTAAAAGCGGCCGGATTGAGGGACAAGCCTGTTGAATCGCCGAATGATGCATCAAACAGCGTAGCATCAGCTTGCGCAGTATCAGGCAGCAGGAGGAGGGTGGAAAGGTCAAGCACTCTCACAGATCGATTGCGTAACCTTTAGGGAGACATCAAACAGCCCACGAAGCGTGATATACTGCAGCTGCCTTACTCTATGGCATGACACCTCCAAACACTGAGTACCAATCTAAGGCTCAGCCAACAGAAATTTATCCCTGTCCTCAACTCATCAAGACCGACACGGCGAGATTTTGGGTTTCTTCCTGCGTGCTATCATGAACCCTCCGGTCCCCCAGTTTGGATAACATCCTCAAGCCAAGCCTTCAACTTAGGATCCTCATCCACCACCACAACCTCCTTCGCCATATCTCTGATCTTGATACCCCACAGAAACCAGCCGATCCATCTGCCCAGCAATTTCGCCGGCAGGCCCTTGCTCCGCTCATCAATGTTCCCGAAATGGAGCTCCAGCGTTCGCAGCCTCCTGAATGGTAGCTTGGTGAGGACACCCATGTGATAATGTGCCTTGTCCACCGTAAAATCGGCGTAATACCATTTGACCTTCTCCAGGTCTGGTACGGACGAGAAGTCCTGGGGATACGTGCAAAGGCGCTCATGGACGGTCGTGCCTGGTCCTGCGGCCATGCTGGGCTCGATTGGTTCGAGTTTGAGAGTTGGGATGTCGATATTGACGCGTAGCTTTGTGATGTGGGCGAGCGGATCGTGGATCGACATGAGTGGTAATAATCGGAGCAACGATCGAAGGTCTAGCAGGCCGCCCGTCTGCTTGAACTCTGAGGTTTCGGGATACTTGGTGATCTCAGTGGGGCCCATGGAGAATTCTGGAGGGTTTGGTGGCGTGACTTCTTCGGTGCAGACCGCGTGGGGGAAGGCGTCTCTTTCGCGGGATGAGAGGACGAATCGTTGGTTGCGGAGGAGATTACGGATGCCGACGTCGAGGAATAGGTGGCATACGGTGAGACATGGGAGATCGGCGATGTTGTAGACGCTCTTCGTACTTTCAAGGAGGAAGAGACAATCGTAGATGCGGTCTAACACCTCGTTCGGCATGGTTCTTAGGGAGGCTTTTTTCTTCTGGCTCTGCTCCGGCGACGAGACTTGAGGAGTGGCGGGAGCTGCGATCTATATGAAGATTGGCTTGTGAGTAAGTGCTTTTCTTCAACTCCGAAGAGGCATGTTGGGAGTACTTACTGGTGCTGCCGAGCTGGCTGCTGAGCTCTCAAGATCATGAAGCAGCTGGGGCTTTCTCTTCTCGGCAAGCATGAACGCGTAATATTTGTTCATCCGCAAGAGGCGCTCCTCCGCCGTGTCTGCGCGGAATGCACGCAGCAGGAACCATTTGGTTCTAGTTTCGAAAGACATCTCCGTGGCGTTGTCTTTGCGCGTTATGTTGTGGTGTTCTGCTTGAGTAATTTGTTTCGAAGTTGGATTAGAATTGGTTATGATTGGGACGTGCCAAGGCTTGGAGAAGATCGGGGAAGGCATAGAGTGAACATTATCTGGGAAACATCGTGGCACGTGCTCTACACCTTGTGGTTGGCTAATTTATGGAACTTTCAGGGGAGAGAACATTGTGTAATCCCGTGGGTAGTAGCATCAACCTCTATGGTAGCTGGTCTCTCGGTATCCGGAGTCACCCTTGGTTTGACTTTGTCAAGCGTATGCACCGCGAGGCTGAACAGCGCAAGATACACAGCTTGAGATAGGGTAAGACTTTTGCAACGAGATGTACCCAATACAAATCACCGAACGATATCTAAGTGTTCAGACCAAGCACATCCCTCATTCCAAGCAGACCATAAAAAGAGAAAGCAATGGGAAACACCTCCAAGCTGAACCACTACCGGAACTTGGAGTTCAGTTGGATGTCAAACTCTCATATCGCCAGAGTCTATCCTGGATGCTGCTAAACGGTTTTCTGATACGAGCCGCACTAATAGAGCTCCTCCTTTGATCCCTCAAAGCCAGATTGACATACCGAACACCAAATTCCAAGCTCTTCCCGATACGCCTGAGGCATCCAGATGTCAGAACCTCAACCCTCCAAGCCTCTCTCCAAGCGCTTGCAGACCATAGCGTCTATCTTCAGAGCGTCCCAATCCACGGCCTTGTCCCATTGGCAGCAGCATGCGCCATCATGTTCGCATACACCGGGTCGTACCTGATGTTCACCAACCTCGCCCTGCTGACAATATTGATACTATACAGGTATCTCCCCACCCATCGGGCCACTGCCATGTTCCACATCCTGGAAGGGTAGCGGGTGATAGTCCCATCTGGAGCCGCGAAACCAAGCTCTAGCACCTGAAGGTTTCGAAAAGGGAGCTCCGCTAACACACCAAGGTGGTATTTGGCTTTCTCGGCGGTGAGTTCAGCCTCCAACCACCGGCCAACTTCCCTCTTGTCGGCTTGGTGAGAGACAAAAGGATGTGAGACGCGGCGACGAGTAAAGACGAGTGTAGCTGCCGCCGCAAGGTTCGTACGCCGTTTCAACATCAGAAGGGGCGCCAGCTCGAAGGAGATGCTGAGCCTGGTGACTAGAGCCAGCGGGTCCGGCATAAGATGGAACGTCGATTGGCTCAGGGACTGTAGGGAGAGCACACTACCGGGCCGTTGTTCGAATGACGAGAAGTACGGCAGCGTGATCGGGTAGATGATAGGCGGAGCTATGAGCCTGGTGGTGGCGAGTGGTTGCCACTCGATGTTGGCGGTATCGGCGTAGTAGGTTCGGTCCGCTTGGGAGGAGTGGAAGGCAAATATTCTATTGGTGAGGAGATAGCGGACGCCTACTTCGAAGAAACGGTGGTTTACTCGGAGAGCCTGGAAGTCGTTCGGGCCAAGGAGTGTCGAGACACCATTGATGTCCGCTGCATCGTTGGCAGCAACGCTGAGGATACGCTCCAGGATCTCGTTCGGCACGGACAAGAAATAGTCTGGGGCTGCTGATGTTGATGACCACGAAGCGGCTGTGGTGGCTGTTTTACGGGCGACGTCCCAGAAGGACTGGAACATTTTGCGCACTCTGCCGTATTGGGGAAGCTGGGCGATCGGCATCGTAGGCTCATTGCACGATTTCTGTAATGCATTGTCAACAAAGAACTAGGCTTATCGGTGTCGAGGAAAGAGGTATACCGAAGAACTCAGCCTCTTACTCAGCGTCTCAAGGCCCCGGAACCACGCTGGTACCCGTTTGGAAGACAACAGGTATCTGTAGTAGGACACGATGAACTGACAGCGTTCTGTTGGTGTGGTGGCCTCAAATGCAGCTCGGTGTATCAGCTCGACGATGCGGGTATCGGGCTGGTGTGCCATATTTTCGAATTTCTGATCTGATTGTTCTAGCCAAGGACTGCGGTCTACAGTCCAAGCAAGACGGATCGCATATTTATGGAATTTTTTGCGAGCCAGTCACTTGACCCGAGCACAGATTCACCTAGGGTGGGCGAATGAGCCCTACAGTGTGAAGGTAGCGAGGCGCTAGCCCGTCTTGTCTCACCAAAAAAAAGGTTCAGCATCCACCAAGCGTACGTCAGATGAAACACTATACGGAATATACATAAGCATGATGGTTTTGGGTGTTATATCAGGAATCATGGCCTTATATAACTGCAATGTCTAGTGGTGATACCAATTAGGGCGTGCGGAGGATGTGAGCAACAACGGTGGCATAGCTGAATTGGACGGTGACAAGTTAGCGTACTACCAGATGAGTTGCCTTGCCCATATCTATACGATGGCCTCATGGGAATGCTTTACAGAATCAAACTTCTAATGCAACGTGATCCCGGGAGCAGACGCTACGATGTTTGGTATGCCAAACAGCAAATTGATTCCAAAAGGCATCACTGAAACTTCTATCCCCACTAGTATTAAGGCGTACGCTATTCCGCAAGTGATTGCCTGGGGTATCTGCAATCACGAGTAAAGTTAGTCAAGTTACACAAAGGATATAAGTAACAAACATAAGAGATCTGCGGGTAGATATAAAATGAAGTAGCTGGCGGATGAGGGATTGTAGAGGGACCTGTGTGAACAAATGCCTTCCCTGCCCTTAGATAGCTCTCTAGCCAGGTTACTTATCCTGATATATTGACGTCACATCGATATGTGGTGAGTGAAATATATGCCAAGAGCAAGTGATGGTGTGCTCGGGGCCGATCACCTTGTTGGAAGTGAGCTCGCCTTGCCCAATCTTTCGCACTTAAAACTGCGCTACTTGCCTCGCCGAGCCCAATCCTCAAGACAGTACAGTGTATCTGAAATCAGCATTATGGAAGAACGTAGGATCACCGGGAGAAACGGCGTGTTGTCTCATCCAGATCGACACATCCTCGAGTTACTACTATTCGCTGCTTTCGAGGCTAGAACACCTGCGGAGCGACTCGAGACGATGGTCTCATACTACGACTATGGGCTGATCTTTTGGGAGACTCCGGAGTTATTTACAAGCCTCCGCTGCCTGGCTCCAAAGGCACATGAGGCAGTATGTTCCCGTACATCCATTGCTGCACGTCGCGCTTGGGCTAAAGGTTTACAGGAATTGGAGAAGAGTCACTGTGTCCCGGAACTATCGAGTTCAGGGCACAAGGCCAACGAGGCAACATCGATGTCGTCTCTACCGAACGAGGTCCTCGACCAGATCTTCCGCCTGGTCCTTTCAGGTACCAAACCTGTCCTCGACAGACGATACGAAAAGCCTGTTGCTCGCTATAAGCTCTGTCATCTACAACAGATTCCGCTCCTCTTAGTATCGCATCAGTTTTTCGAACTCGGCGTTCGACATCTGCTCACGAAAGACTTCTTCGTGTTCGAATCTCAGAAGGCCGACCGGCAGTACTATGCCGACAGGGCCAATATGCAGCAGCAGCCTGGCGCACGCCCCGTTGCTCCGGATGACCTCTGGCCACTCTTTTATCCCATTGACACGCATTTTGCACAGAAAGACGGTGTCCTGCTACTGGACTCTTTGATCAAGACGCCGTTCCACCTCATCCCAGATCTGCTCCCTTTGATCACCAAGGTGTGCATCGAGATCGAGCTCCCGCCTATAAGAATGTTCTTCCGGCGGTCACGGGCCCAACCAGGGAACGGCAGCTTCGTGACTCATCCGTTTCTACAAGCGGATGCCTCGACAGCAGACGTTATGGAATGATTCAAGGTGGAGCTTACACCGCAGAAGGCTGAATACCACCTAGGCGTTCTGGCGGATATCCCCTTCAGGAACCTACAGCTTCTTCAGTTACACTTCCATTCCGCCATCTGCTCGGTCCTTGAACCAGAGTGTTGGGAGGCATTGGCACTATGGATCGGACGATATCTCCTTGAGATCAGCATCCTGGACATGGCTACAACGGTCCAGATCACGACGAACATGGATAATGAGAACATGGAGAGGCTTATTCGGAGCGCGATGGGTAAGCCGTCCACGGATCTGCTGTAAGGAAGATTGTCCAATCTCCAGACACTTCGTGGTAAAATTTCGTACTCCACAATTCCAGTTCTTAGCTAACGGAGGACCTTTAGGAGATAAGAAGCGAGCGTTCTGCAAACTGTCTCCGGTATATTAAGAACAGACTCGAGACTGAGAGCCCTGGCGTCGTGGAAGATCGCCAGCATGGAAGAAAGGTATCCGGGATATGGGTTTCCAACGACGAAGAGCACTGGAGGGTTACAGATAGCTCTCTTACATAGCTGGCTGTACCATCTGCTTTGGCGCTGCGTAACTGGGAGCAAGCCTTGAAATCTTCATTCCCGTATGTACCCACGTGCATGCCTCTTGCAACAGAGATCCGTATCCATTGCTAGGCAGATACTCGCAAACAGGACGCTTCTGAACCCGGCTTGATGATCTTAGAAGCTCCACTGATCAGTCTCCCAAGACTACTGAATCAGAGCATGAATCCATCTCCAATCGGTTTTGTCTCACCGCGTATTGTCAGACTCCCCAGCATCGCCTTTTAGTTAACTCGTTTCATTATCACGAAAACTGTGCCTTAGCGTACTCGACTTGACTTTTATTGAACACCACCGAGAGACCTACCCTTAAAGTTCATGAACCAGACAGGGGCCTAGACATTGTTCCAACACAGCCGAGATCATCGACCGCATATTGGGCTTCCTCCACTCCGAAAGCCGTTTTACAGGTCCTGGAACCCCACGGCTGAGCCAAATCTGCCACCTCTCGGCTCTGATAACCTGTCGTCTGCTCTTTCAGACTGGCGTCCGCAACATTCTCAGCAACCAGAGGTTCGAGTTCCCTAGCCATCAGTGCGGCTATGAACTTCGCGTCGACTCGCGGCAACTTCCCTGGCCAATGAGCAGACCATTAAACTTCTATAATGCTCGGCTCATCGCAGAACAGAGTACGATCATTCGAGCTTCGAACAACGGGACAGGCTGCTTTCCTTGAGCACACCCATTCCTCCACCACGCAGCATCTCGATGCCAAACCTTCTATCACTCATCACCCAAGTCCGTATCAATTTCAGACTGTCTTTCCCTCACATCGCACGCCGGTCACCAAAACCCCCTGCCGGAGCACGCTGGCCCAAGCGCCGCCGCAAGATCACGCATGCCTACCGCCTAGAAGATACGAAGTTACTAGTAAGCGTATGGCTCCCAGCTGAATATACCCACCAGAAAGCAGGGTACCTAGGAATTGGCTTCGGAGACTTCCTTCACTGGTATCTAACACCAATGCATGCCATCTCGGCCGCCTGGATCGCGCGGTATCTGCGTTGCAACCCGATCCGCAACACCGCTCGTGAAATGAGATTTCCAGAGGAGGATGAGCTCATCTCGGGACTCGTTCAGGAGGAGATTGACACTCCGGATGAGGATGGCCTTGAAGTGGCGCTTTGCTTTGATTGCAGTCTCAAATGGCTTCAGCGTAGTCTCAGCCGAGAGGTGCAACCGATCATCGTTGCTCGTAATGATGATGGCGCTTGAATTCACTGTTTTACCGCCGAGAAGTAAAGCGCGCGATGAAGCACTGTATTCTAGGAAACCTACACTGGAGGCGAGCTGGACCGAAGGAAGGAACCTGAATAGTTATGGTAGTGGATGCTTAACATCATCCTCGGTGCGAAGGCTTGTCTATACTGCCTCTGTATATGTATCACTATGAATAAATAAAACGAGCGTCCGCTACGGACCTTCTGAAGCTTTGGAAGCATATCTCGGCAACGTCTAATGTGATTGGGGATCATCGGCTCGATTCTGCGATTTCTTGGCGCTTTGATCTCTGTTTAGAAAGCGATGGAGCTTAGCCGGCCAGGTGAAAACTCCGTGAGATAACATTCCTCTTTCATATTTGGCTGGTTAGCACCAGCTAGCCTGTTGATGGATAGAATCCGCTCCGTAAGCAATACATCATCCGACCATCTCTTCCAGAGCACATCACACACATAATATTGTGCGTCAACACTGCGAACTCCATTCTACCCCTACGCCGCCTGTGGAGAACAGCTGCTGTGTTCGGAGACCCGAAATTATGCAACTCAAGGAACCGGACCCAACGGAGCCGATATACCTAAGCGACCGCCAAGTGAGCGAGATGGAGAAGTTGGTACGCCCCGTTCTTGAGGCCGCAACCCGAGAGGATCGATACCATAGGTGGAACGACTTCTACCGTACCTTGGCCTTGAGAAAGACTAGACCCGGTTTGCTGCAACGTCTCGTCAATCTGGCTTTGGCACCGGTAAATGAATCGAGAACAGTATGTGTCCTCCCAGAAACCAATCTTAACTATCTTGTTGCTGACACCGCTCGTTGCATCCAGGTAGTAATCGGACAGCCTGTTGTACCGGACAACCTTGAGGACAAGGCCTCGCTCCTGTCCTTGCCCAACGAGCTCATCGACCGCATATTCGATCATCTGCCCCGTGAAATCGGATGCTTTCCAGCGTTGCGCGTTTGTCACAGGTTTTTTCACATCGGTCTACGCCATGTCCTTCATAAGGATGTCTTCACCTTCACAAGCGCAGAACACGATTACACCTTCTCCCCAAGCAGCAGGCGGGTCCTCCGGCCAATGAGGCCTAATCTTCCAGATCACGTTCAGCTTTCTGTCTCGAGGCAACCAAACAGGCGCAAGTTTGAAACCAATGGCCGGACATTACTCGATACAGTTATCAAGTCACACTGTGTATTTGCTTTTGATCCTATGGCATTTATCATGAAGATCCACATCGTGTTCCACTTGCCGGAGCTGCTAGTGTATGCGCGCTTGCCAAGAAATCCCACGGGAAGTCCGCGGGGTAGCAGATCAGCTCGCGGCGGTAGAAGCTAAGCTGTACGAGCCGGAGGTTCTTGAAAGCCAGTGGGAGCACTTTCAGACATCCGAAATGGAGTTCTGCTCTCTGGTGTGGGACTTCGGATAACAGCCGTTCGATCGCTTGGTCGCGGGTATGGTCAGTCATGAGGTAGAGCCAACGCTCCCGCCTTGTTAGGCCACTATGGTTTTGCCTACGCGGTGTGGATCGGTCGATACCTGCATCACGTCAAGATCAAGGAGATTGTCAAGACGGTGGCGTTTCCGAAGAAAGGGGAGCTCATATCTGGCGTTCTTCACAAGATCATTGACGAGGGCTTCGACCTTTAAGATGGAGGTGCTCCTCTCGCTGAGTCTAGACTGCACGTATGAACTCAAGCGGAGCGTCGAGGGATCTTCTCCCATGGCCGGGTTCTAATCTCTCTTAGCTGTACTAGAGCATCTGTACCGAGGGAGGTCTCAGGTACTTGCTGCTGTGGCTTTTGCTCCTACTATGACTGTTGCTAAATGTAGTTTCACTTGGCTCTGGCGTTAGAAAGATTCTACTTTACGATGCTTCATAGCGCACCATGCTTGATGTTAAGTGATGGAGACTTGGGAGGTGAGATAACTGTGCCGCTGCATTAAGAGCTACGTGACAATGGGACTCTGTTCAATTCTTTCCAGCATCATGATTTCACGATAACATCGAAGTTAAAACCCTATTCTATGTCCATTCCCATTTGTTCCTTAGTACCCGCCAGCGCCTGCGATGATCCATCCGTTCTCGGCTTCATGAGTATGGCGGTGTCCTTTATTGCTCTCTCTGGAGATGTCCAATCGCCCAGCCCAGCCCACCCCTCCAAGCCATGATCGAGTGTTCCCTCGATGATTGACTATACCGTTACCGAGAGCTGGGATACATGACCACCCTCCAATTGAGCCTCGGTGCCACACGACCAAGATGTCGATCAAACAATAGCGTCAAGGTGCCCTTTCAAAGATCTTCAACGACGATTCTACGCATTTCCCCTTCCCTCCGTTTGAAGATATGTACACCATCAACTTCACCCTCAAAGCCACCATAGACCTCAGCTTCAAGGATGCGTGTTATCATCGGCAGCTCACTAGGAAACGCGACTGTCCGGGCCCGGCTCTTAAGATCTATCAACTGCACATATTCGCCAATCCAAATGGCCATAAAGACGTTGTTCTGCCTGTCCGTGGTATGGAGAGAGCGTCCGAAGCCGAGCTTCAGAGAGTGAAGATTCTCAAACGGAAGGTCTCTCAACACACCCATGTGGTAGTCCGCTTTCTCGACGGTGATCTCAGCAGGGAGCCAGGCCAACATCTCTGGACGGGAATCGTCAAACCAGTGCGGGTGTGAGATGCGGCGGGCTTCCCATGGTACGTTGACGCCGGTGGGATTGATCGAGGATCGTGACTTCATATTGATGGTCGGGATCTCAATGTCAATGCGCAGGTTCGTGATGAGGAACAGGGTGTTTGGGAAAAACACGATTGGTGATCGGATGAGAGACTCCAACGATAGGACGCCGCCGGTTTGGTCGAACTTTGATATGAACGGACGCGGTCTGGCGATGAGATGAGTCCTTGCAGGGAGCGTCGGCGTCATCGGCCATGGCAACTGGTTACAATCTGCGTAGAAGACATGGTCGTATTCCGAGCTGATGAACCGGAACTCGACGGTGTTGAGGAGGCTCCGGAGGCCAACTTGCAAGAACCTTCCACAGACAAGAAGTGCAGGGAGCTCATGGATTCGATGGAGGTGAGGCGTTCCGCTCTCGCTGGTTGACTCGATATCGAACAAGCAGCTGAAAACGCGGTCTAGAATCTCGTTCGGCATGCTCGTAAGGAATGCTTTCCTCTGCCGATCGGACTTCCGCACCAATTCGTGGAAGCTTCGAACTGCCTCTTCGACCTCTCGCTTGAGTATACTGTAGCCAGAACCCAGCATCCAGAAAGAGTCGCTCGCCTCTTGAGTGTCCCGCTCCAGACTGCTCAGATCGTCAAGCTGCTCCTGCTAATCGATCATCCACATCAGCGAGGACTCTGCCAGCATCGATAGGGTTACGTACCACTACCGCGGGCTCAGCTGTACGCGCAGCCAGCTGGTCCAATCCTTGTAGCAACCTCGGTCGACTCTTCCTTAGGCTCAGGTCGTTGTAATACACCGTCGTTCGGGCCAAGCGTTGTCCAGGCGTTGCTGCTTCGAACACATATCGCCGCATGGCTTGGGAGGTCGCCATTCTTACCGCCCTCTAAAGAACAAAGATGTGGTGCTGCTTTGTGGAACCGTGTCTTTTCTCCACCTGCGAGACGCTCTTCCAACGTACGGAGACACAGAAACTAAGCGGTATGGTCCTTTTACCGAGGGCGTGGCTGTATTTAAGTGTAGAAGGCAAGGTAGACTGCACGTTCGTGAGAGGTGTTTTTCTGTGTGCAGAGAGGCCCAAAAAGACTTGTTTTCTGGACTTAAGTTTGGCTGAGCAGGAGGGTGACAGGACTGAGACCCTGCAGGCCAGCAGGTTACTTCACAGAGTCTTGGCAACCACCACGCCAAGACTTATTATACACGGAGAATACGCCATTATAGATTCTAGAACCACAAAGAGCTTATACAATACCCAGCACAATGCAATATACACAAAGCCGCACCACCCATCGCCTCAGAGGTACAGAGGCGCAGAAGATCTTATAATGTTTCGACCAGCGGGTTTGAGCAAGCGACACATGATGGGCCCATTGTCCTGAACAACCTTGTTACTGATTGCGAGCAGGAGAGGGCAAACCAGACTCAGGGACAGCAGGTCGAGGCGGACCACAACTAACAGCCTCCCATTATTTCAAACTGATCACGCAGCACTCACAGAGGCAATCGCGAATGATCCCCACGCTCAGTCACCAGCAAATTAGATTGTCTCCAATCCCGACCGTTACCTACATCCGGTTTGAAAAGAATTGAGGCGGGGAGGACCAAGAGCATCAGATGCTATCCCGCAAGGTCGCTGCGAATGCAAGATCGAGACACTAGTATCGAGGGGACTCTCCTTGTTACGCAGCTCGTCTTGCTCTGTTAGATATCACTATGTAAGTCACGAACAAGATCGTACTGCTATAGGAACCATGGTATCTAGCTGAAGTTTCGTAAGAAGAGCCAGTGTTTATACAGAACCAAAATCCTTGCACAATCCAAACAGAAACAACCGCCGCCCACGAAGTATTCCAACGGTTGAACATATTTACCTCAAACGCCTGAGCACCACAGATGCGCCGCATCTATCCACTACTCAAGATTCATAACGTTCTACTCTTCTTGACTTGTATCAGACTCATCCTCGCTCGTGTTCAATTCCGTTGCAGCTGCGATACCATCACCAACTGCTACAGTCCCCCGGATCCTCTCAGCAACCCACTCGGACTGCACGCCGCAGACCCGGAAAGACGAGTGCACATGGACAGGTTGCTCTTTGACGAATCTGCACCACAGCCGCCGGAGCTGCGACCCCAGGTTGTCTTGGTCGTGGAAGAACTCAGTGCTGAATATCCTGCTCCAGCCGTACTTATTGATCGTTCTGCGACGAGCTCGGCGCTGCACAATAGTCAGGTTCCGCAGTCTAGTAAGGACATCTGGTAGAAGCGGACGGAGCGCTTCGCTGAGTGCGGAGGCAGGATGTTGCACTTCGTGGTCGGGATTTAGTTCGAAGATGATGACGAGATACCGAGGCGCGAACTTTGGAGCATCTGGGCTAGAGAAGGCTCCAAGTGTGAGGGCTGGATGCCCGATATCGTCCACATGAAGCGATCTGCGGTCGTCGCTTAGCTGGACGAAGATCCGCATGATCTCGTTGTCTAGGAGATGCTGGAGCATTGCATGGCGGGTTGCTTTGCTTGTGGCTAGGAGAGCCATAATGGATTCCCAGTCGGCATCGTCGAACTTGGTCAATGTCAAGTTGAAGTCCTCAGGACGGCGCTCGAGCCAGCCTAATTGTTTAGGATCAAACTTCTCGTCTTTGGCGATGTTGTCCAGGATCATCCGATGGAGTTCTTCTGTGAGTGTGGAGAAGATGTCCTTGCGTTCGGGCTCAGTCTCGATGCTGTCAGATGTGTCCCTAGCTGACTGCGTGTTGGTGGATGGTGATGAGCCGCCGACGCGTCGGCGTTTTGCAGGAGATTCGTTAGGCGATGAGATTGGTTTGCTTTCCATCTTGCGCTCAATCTTCGATCTTGTCTTCGACTTTTGATCTGATCTTGTCTTCAGTGTTGTCTTCGATTCTGACTTTGGTCCCGTCTTCGAGAAGCTGCTGTTATCCGTAGTCATGAAAGAGAGGAAGATCAAAATGGTGTGTGAGATACAAGGAACAAGGCTGGTGTACTTTCACCGTGGTCCAGTACCTGTGAAAATATACGATGTGCAAGAAAGCGTATACCATGTGACTGACAGCGCCTCCTCGACAGATTTCACCCTCGTCTTTCAAGCTGGGTGAAGCACATTTCAGTACTCCGCACCTTTTGTTAGCGGGTCCAAAGATGCGCCACTCTCTCAACCGTCACAGTTCCCCAAGCCGGCGATCGGTCCTCCGTCCAAGGCCAGGTAAGCGCATGACGCAGACGTCGAACTTGTCTTGATCATTTGCAGGATGCTCTTAGACGAAGCAGAGCCACAGGTCTGTAAATTGGCCCTCCATGAAGGCCTGATCTACATATCCAGACCTCGGTGATGAAGACCTTCGTCCGGCCATTGCTGCTCTTTGCTCTTCGCTGTGCGGGGCTGATCTCAAGCTTGAGACTCCAGGGTCGAATGAGCAGGCCTAGAAGCCGTCGGCTGAGGTTTATCTTGAGCAAAAAGCTGCTGCTTGAACTGACGTCGATATCGTACATACTATCAACGATCTTTGGATGCTCGGAAGTTGACTGACTGTAGCCGACCATCGCTAGGGCTTATAGGTCTATTGCCGTTTCTGAGGTCAACGATTGTAACCGAGTATCTTGGGGTGAAGGGGGAGCATCTTCAAAAATGATAGCATCAAAGACCAGATGGGAGTGGCCGATGTCGATATCATCAAAAACGGCGGTGCCGGAGACCCTGTGAAGAAGTACACGGAGACCCTCTCCATCTGGTAATTTTTGTGGTGGGAGCATCCCACTTAAAGGAAGAAGGATGTAGGTGTATCGCCAATGGTGATTGTTCTACCTGGTCAAGCTAGTTGCCTGCTCTCGGCTTTCTGCCAGTTTTCATCATCCGGACCAGCGAGTGAAAGAGGTATCAGAATGCTGGTGATGAGGGCTTAGTAGAGGATACTTGATGTCCTGGCAATTGAGTGGTCTTCTTAACCCCATCATCGGTTTCAAATCAGAACGCTAGAGCCTGCGAATACCACTTCGTCAGCATTTGCTCTCATTGGAAAATGGAAAACAGCGATGTCTCAGACAGCGTTTGCCTGTCCAATTGCATGTTGCAGACGAGAAGGCTTTGTGACTGGCCAGGTATTAAAAATGATCCAGAGACAGAAGGGACACGTAGTCTCTCTGTATTGTCGTGAACAAAGCGCTAGGCGGTCTAGTAGTATACAGGCGTCTAATAAAGCAGTCAAAGGAAGGGGCCACTGTCGAAAAGCCAATGAAGGCGATTGCCGAAACATTCCGGGAGAGAGCTGTGGAAACAGAAGACTAGTGACCAGTCTCATACGTCTCTACTGAGTCCGATCTCGAAGTTCTTCCTAGTGGATAGGATTAGCAACAATCAGGAAGAACATTCGAGTCTCCCGAGTGAGAACGCTACGTTTGGACTGTCTCTACGATCATGACACTTTATTCAAGCCACTGAATGGAGTAGAAGTACACTGATGCAAGCAGACCCCAGAGAGAAATCACCACCACTCAATGCTGCCTCATGACAACCATGCCACATGAGACGAGTGTCCTGGCTGACTCTACCGCCACCTATCCCAGCCTCTTGCGCTTGCGCTCATTATCTTCGCCCTCCTTGCGCTTCGCGATCTTAGACGGCGCCTCCGTCTCCTGAGTCTCATGCTTGGCCTTCTTCTTCGACGTATGGATGTGGTTCTCCTCAGGCGTGTTCTCGGCTGCTGAATCGGAGCAGGAGCATGTCAGCGAGCTCCAAAAGATCCAAAAGGCGCAATTGCTTACAAGGGGACAAGGTACGGGGTGTAGCGGCTGGAGCCTCGTCCTTGATGACCTCGACTGATTCAATATCGCGTCCACGGTTCTTTACGACGAGAAAGTTGCCAGTGGTGCCGGCCGGGGGCTTTTCGATCGGGACAAGATCGAATTCGAGCTTCACGTCTTTGCCGCGGATGAGCGCTGCCACGTCTGGCACTGGATGTTAGATCGGTAGCGGGCTGGAGCAGATGGAAGGTTACGCACCGTACTTGAACTTCACTGCCATGTAGAGCTCGCGATCGCGATCCTGCTTAGCCTGCGCGATCTCCTTGGCCCTAGTCAGGGCTTTCTCCTTTGCTTCAAGCCAGAAATGTCAGCGGCGCTTCATTGAGAGTCAAAGCTGTCATACCGGCAATCGCCATCTGCAAGACTTGTTCGGCTGACTCGACGTCGTGGGCAGCGAAGAAGATAGCCTTTTGAGCCTTTCTACAGCGTCAGTTATTACAAAGCAGATTTGTGGAGGAGACGTACGCTCTCCAACAACTGCTCCCGTGTCTTGCGCATGCCCTCGAGCTGCGACTCGGTCGTAGGGAGTTTGTCCATTTTCTGCGCTTATGCACTGGAAATTCGAGGAGCGAGAACAGGTGGAGAGGAAAAGTCTGGAAAGGGAGACAACAGGCACGATGTTTTGGTGTGTTGCTGGTTTGCAGGGAAGAACGCACGGAATCTGATTGAATGAGAATTCAAGCACATGTGCACTTGTGCGGAACAACGTGAATAGAACTCCAAAACACTTCACTCAGCCCTATACGCGTGCACGGAGCTCTTCTGAGTGAAGCCTTAGCTCTCCATCATCTGGAGCAAACAGGTCTCCCTACAAGACTTGATACAAAAATCAATCCTACACCTCTGCAACCGCAGGAACAAAGCAAGTACGGTGCTTTATTTTTATTGATTCACTCAATCTAACCCTAGTCTCCGGAACAAACTGCCAGGTTAACCAGGCGGGTTCGGCCAACCGCACTACGGTAGACAGATACCATCCCACGTACTCGATCAATATCTACTCGATTGATTCGGCGATAACTCCCCGCAAGATAACGACGAGGTGCATTTTCATGGAAACGACGACAAAGAACACGTTTTCGTGACCGACCACGCAACAGGCAAGCCACGAACCTCTCCCATCGCCGATCGGCCTCCGCTGTCGATATTGAAGCGCTAATTCGAATCGTAGGACGCGGGAAGCCCTTTTCAGCCACTACACTCGCAAAGCCAGGTCATATCTCTATGGCATATCTCACCCCGGCACCGGGTCCAAACCGTGGACACACCGTTATGCCAATGAATAGCGACTACGGGACTTGAATGGACTTCCAATGGCGCCAATACGGCTGGATCTCCGGGTCAGCTTGGATGGATGGACACAGTCCAGGTTGGAGAACGTACATTCTTTCCTTAGCCCCGACAGGTCTCTGCTCCCTTAATGGGTTCTCTCTTACACATTCAACAGAAGAATGTGACCAAGAACATGACCTAGGGTGCTCGAGGGAAAGCAGCGGAAGCCTCGGGCTAGACTCGCAGCTGAACAGGCTAGGCCATTAAGATTCAAGACACTTTAGTCAGCGGCTCGTGATGCAAACAGAAGTACTTGGATGAGATGGATTGGGTTCGAGTTCTCATCCAACTGCATTATACTATCAGATGATTGGTTTCAGCGGCTTCATACATGCACGATAGTTTCCCGTAATGCTACGATCACATCGGTTTTCTACTGCGTGGTCGTACCTCCCGATAGACTTTCCAACATCAACAGCGCTTCTCAACCCGGTATACCTGTAAACGATCCTTTCTCAACATGAAACTGGGTTACAAGTGGTCCCACGAAAGCCTTTGATGCCGCCTATCCAATACGATTGCTGAGCCAAATTTAGTCCCAAGACTCGGAAGTTCTCTCTCAGAAGACGCTATTAAAGCTTCAAGGCCCTATCGAACGCGGTGAATCTTCTCAAACCGACCCGTCATGAGCCACACCTCTCCTGTATCGCCACCCTCCTCATTTCGCAACTCGAAGTCTTGCAACCAAGCCGTCCACTTCGAGAAGTTTGCCAGAGCCTCTGCTTTCTCAAGCGTCCGCAGAGCTTTGTCAGTCAGCGCTGCCTTGCATACCAGCAGCGCGAACTCTCTGGCGTGTTCATCCGGCTCTAATCGGACGGGAGTATGAGAAACAAGCGGATTCTCCCCTGCCACAGCCTTATTCGGTGCTACAGCTTTCTCTGTTCCTACAAGTGCTGAATTCATATCTCGTTGCTTCCTGATTTCTGCATCCAGAGTCGTAACTTCCTTGGGATATTGCTTCAGCAGGACCTCCTCCATCTGCTTGTACCGTTCGGGTATTGGCAACAGGAGCACTTGACCAGGAACGCCGGGCGCTGGCGTGGTACGTGCTAACATCGTGTAGCCTGGCTGGGCCGCGGTCGTTGCTTTGAAGTAGGTTGCTTTGCCTGGCCATCGGTATTAGTAGTGTCGATTCGGGAGGCAGGAGAGGGAGCGCACCTGTTGCTTCTTCGAGGGCGAACACGACTTCATCGCCGTCTTTATCGACACTAACAGGGAATTGTAGATGCAAGTTTGATTCCTGGCCGCGATCAGCATCGATTCCTCATACAATGGCTAACCAAAGCTGGCGGCCAGATTGAGACACTGAGAGCTTGCTCACCATTGTTTGAGCTCTTCTGCTGTCGTCTTACAAGGCACTATAGACTTCGGATCTGCCTTCTTGTCCGCTGGATCAAAGAAACGAGGACGGTGTAATTTCGATGTCGCATCTTCGAGTGCGAAATGGTGTTCACCCAGATTCACTCACGTGACATCAACGACAGCACAATCCATTCAGTTCACACCACTCGTATGAAACCATATTTCACATGCTCTTGCGTATTGAAACAGTTCTTACATGCGTAACGGTCCCCATAACTGCTGAGATAGAGTCCTCGTCAAAGTCCCTACTAAATCTCACACCCCGAGAACAGCTAAACACCGCGATCGCTCACCCGGCCCGGCCAAGCAGTCGCATGACCATCCAAGCAAAGCAGCCGTACCTCGTATAATCCAGCCCTCCATCTCAAGCCCTCGCATTTCCCCGCGAACTGAATTGGCGTAGGCCTCAGAACCTACCGCGGCGCCGGCGTTCGCTTCAACCGTCGAGATGGCGCCTCCTTGCCCTATCCAGAAGCCACCCATCAGCTCTCTCCATATCACTCGACAAGCTAACAACAAGCCTACTTTAGTACTCTACTCTCCTTCTACCCTACTCTCCTTCTGTCTATCTCTCCTTCCACCCTACCTCGCCTCCCCTCCCCGCCCGACCACAACAGCCACAACGGCCCGCCTCCTCACCCCGCCCACCGCAATCAGCGCAGCGGCATCGTACCGCCTTACCGCAGGATCGATGTCTTCGCGTGAGACCCACTCCGGAGGGTGGTCTTGCTAGCCGTAGTACTCGATGCAGTATATGACGTGCTTGCTGTTGTTCTTCGTGGCCATGATATTGTTCTTCGTGGTCTGGTGTTGTTCTTCATGGCCTTGCTGTCATTCTCAGCAACCTACTTACCGCTCTTCTCAGCGCTCCGGGCAGGATTCGAGAAGATCGGGAAGCGCAGATCCCGGCCCAGGATGCGGCCGATGAGGTATTGGCTGATGTTGTCCCGGTCGGTGCGGACGGGTTGTCGGCGTCGGCGTGCGCATCTCTGCTGATCTTTAGGGATGGTTCGGGAAGGTTTGTTGTGGATATATGTGGAGGTGCGGGCTTGGTAGAGGAGACTGGTGCTGATGGTCGTTGTGCTTGCCAGAGGCTCTCGATGGTCTTGAGGCGACTTCTTGGGCGCGCGTTTGAGGGATAGATGAGATGGGCTGATGGTGAAAGTTGTGAGGGAGATGGAATGGGGAGAGGAGATAGACCTTTTATGGCATTCTGAGCGCGCTGGACCGGAGTCGAGTGGCTGAGATAAGGTGGATCGCAGCTGTGAAGGTAGATGCTACGACTATTCACTGCTCGAAGGGATATACGTATAGAAAGCCTCGGCTGGTGGTGTTGATATTTACTTTCAGCTGTGACTGGACTATAGCGCCGTGTTGCTCGAAGTGACTGTGTGAAATTTCCCGGACGCACAAACGACAGTCTCGGAAACCAGCGCGCGTCCTCTCCGCCAACTCAACCACAGCGCAAAAACCCTCGAATCGAGAATTCTTTCGAGCCTTCAACAAGCCAAGCAGAGAAAATGGCACGTACTACCACCCCGATTCCCAATCATCTCTACTCCCCTGGCTAGCTTAATATGCCACGAACGGCGCAATCCATTTGCCCTACCAAAGGCACTCCTTGCAATCCATCAACCCACCCCCCACTTCTCCGCCCAACCACAAACGCTAACTCAACCCCCCAGGCCAGCGCGCCCCACCACTCACCCTCCATCCACGCCGTACCCTCCCCCCGCACCCCCAACAACCCCACCTACCACCCACTCAAGCTCGAAGCCACAATCGCATACCTCGTCGTGGACGAAGCGACGGCAGAGCGCGTGCTCCATCTGGCGCTCGCGGGTACGACGCTTCCAACACCTAGCCATGATCCCCGCTGATGTAGTATCTCGTGTAGCGAAAGCGCGCGTGGCGGCGGAGAGGGCGGCGGCGGAGACAGCGGTGCGGGCGCGCGGGGGGGAGGAGTGGGTTTCGCGGGTGATGGCGCTACTGGTGAGTAGTATCCCCATACATTAGATCTGCTTGCAGGATTTCGGGTGGAAGTTGATTCGGGTTATAGATGAAGAAGTGTTCGTGCGGGTCAGGGACCTGAGGCCCGGGCTTGGGGTCTTGGCGATGGCGGAGCCGGCGCCTGGCCAGCCGGGCCAGTTCCTGCTTGTGCGCTTGGACGAGCGGTTGCGGGCTGATGGTGGGGAAGTAGAGGCCGTTGAGCAGCAGTAGGGGTGTCTTTAGAATTTGCAGATTTGAGAATGAGAAGCACTTCGGAACACTGGGACATGATGTGATTCGAACGTGATCGCGATACTATGGATGCTACGGAACAACGATGATGGTATCTCGCGCACTAAACTCATCGTAGAGATGTAGACTCAGACTCATGACAAAGGAGATAACGAAAACGAAGATCCACGACCCTATGTCGGCCCCCTGTCACCTCTAGTACGCCCTCCCAAAAGCCCAGTTTCCACTCCCGCCACTTCCCCTGCTGCCCCTCCCCCGTCTCTCCTCCCGTTCCTCCTCCTCGATCTCTCCCCTCAGATCGCTAAGGCTCTTCCTCGTCCCGTCATCGTACTCCATGACGTCGCTGAACCGCGTTCTGCGTGGGCTGCGGCTTGGCACCTCGGGCGGCGTGCTATCCCTCCGCAGCGGGTGCGGACGCTCGACGATCAGCGTGTCGTCTGAGCCGCCGGAGGCGTCGCGGGAGAGGTGTGCGGGCGCTGGCGCGGAGGTCGTGAGGGGCGGGAGGGGCTTGCGCGGGACGCTGAACCGTCTCCCCTGTTCATCGAAGCTGGGCCGCTGCTCGTCGAAGTCTCTGCCGTAGGAGTCGCGGTCTGCGGCGGTGCGAGTTTCTGCGCCTGAGAGGCCTGCGGCTGCGACGCCGGCTGCGGCGGCGGCGGTGGCGATGTTGGGGCTGCTCCGCCTGCGGCCTGTGCCGCTGAGCCCGCTGCCCTGGTCCGCGGGGCTGCTGGTAGCGTAAAGCCCACCCGAAGCCATCGGCGAGCTGGTGCCGTGCAGTTCGCTCGGCTGGCCTATCCCGTGCAGCTCGCTCGGCCCGCCGTTGTCGTATTCGTCCGTGTGCGCGCTGATGTCGCGGTTGCGGCCGCCTGCGCCGGGCACGAGCGGCACGGTGCCCGGGATAAAGACGTCGTTGAGGTTGGGGCTCACGGTGTTGTCTCTCTCGATGGGCGAGACGAGATACTGCGGCTGCGGCTGCGGCGGAGGCTGGGGCGGGAAGTAGTCTTCTGCTTCGGAGTAGTCGGCGTTCGGGTTCGCGTATGCGGCGTAGGCGCTTGGCTGGGAGAAGTTGGTTGGGCCGCCGGCGGTGGTGGCGGTGCGGAAGGGGCTGGAGTTCCGCAGCGGGCTATCCGAGCCTCGTCGAGGCGGCGGTGGGACAGGCGCGAAGGGGTTGGCGTGCACGGCGGGGTGCCACGTGTTGAACGTCTCTTCTGGCGGACTGACCCTCCGCTGCGGCGGGCTCGTTCTCCGCGAGGGCGCGAAGACGGGGTGGTCGGATACCGTGGGGCCCTTCATCTGCGTCATCTGCGGTGCGGCGACCATTACTGGTGGGGGCGCAGGGCCGATGTGGTCGTGGTGATCGTGCAGGAGCGGATACTGCGGTTGCGCGGCTTCCGCGTTCGCGCGCCATGCTTCTACGGAGGCGGAGGTCGAAGCGGACGTGATCTGCGAGCCTGCTGTTCGTCGCCTTCGGCGGCGGCGAAGGCAAAACCAGAGGAGGGCGAGGAGGGTCAGGAGGAGTAATGCGCCCAAGACGGAGCCGAGGATGATAGCGAGTTTGTTGGGGCCGCTGGAGGTCGCTGCTGCTGCTGCTGCGGAGGTGCTTGCTGCTGCGGCGGTGGGAGAGGTGGATGTCGCGGAGCTTGAGGTTGTACTTGAGCTTGATGAGGTTGATGTTGCGAGTGTACTGCTGGAGGACCGTGATGTGCTGGTGGGTGTGGGCGAGCTTGTGCGGGTCGCTGCTTCGGAGAGGATTGAGTTCACATCTGAGGCTACTTCTGTGTATACGGGTGCGAGGACTGAAGTCGCCGCTGTAAAGAGCGAGACGGCGTCGGAGAGGAGGTTGTCGAGGGCGTTGGTGGTCGCCATGGAGGCGACTGGCTCTCGTGCGACAACAGAGCGATGGGAGCGATTGGAGCGGATGATGGATTGCGCAATCAGACAACAGCGACCAGAGTGAAAGTTGAGATGGAGAACGAAAGAGACCGAGAGAGTGGCCGGGTAATAAGAGAAGCATCGTCACCGCCGATCAGGTCCCGCACACCAAGGTTTCCCGTCGTGCTGCCACAATTATCGCACTCGACTGACTGCGCCACAGACCAACAGCCACAGCGTGGGGATGATCCCGTTGTCCAGCCACTCAGGGACGGCGGACGATGTTGCCATTGACCTCATGCACGACAAGATCGCCAGCGCCAACGACGTTTGGGGGCTTTCGCTCCGGGGACTCCCATGCAACGGCCTGCGATTGCGGCGCACAGAGCAAGGGAGCGAGTTCTGGAACACGAATCGCGAGATGCGCACCAATGGCAGGTGCAGACAAACTGCGACTGAGCCACAGGTCTCGGTAGGGCTACGAGGGACTGTGGCTTCTGGCCTTGGGCTTTTGGGGCCTTTGTGGAGAAGACCAGCGAGACAAAGCCCCCGCATGCAACGTTTGTTGATATATTTAGAACTGTGCTCTACGGGTCTTTGCTGTGACCAGAGCCTCGAGACGGTGAATAGTGCTTCTGGCCTCTCACGTAGAAAGAGAGCACTTACAGTCGAGGATGCGACTCAGGGGATACTCGAATGACGCAATACTAGCAATCCACTCGCAAAACCTGCCAAGAGAGCCCTCAAAGCAAGAAAAACACAGGGCTCGTATGGCTCACCACCTGACGGAGAGGGCTTCTGGTTCCCTCTAAGCCTCTTGCGCTTCTATGCTCATGGAAGGAAGGTTGGAAGTTGGCAGCGTTTGAAGATCCTCATGCGCGGGATGACGTTCCGTTCGCTTCAAGTTCTTGGCATAATATCACGTGACGATCATCAAGGTAATACGACTCCAAGCCAGCTCAACCTCCACTTTTCCAATACCCAGATCATCCCGCAGTTCTCGCACGCGTAACTCTCATTGGCAACGAACTTGATGGTTGAATGTGTGCAGCACGGGTAGCCTTTGTCGCGGTGGTAACAGCGGCGTAGGAGCTTCTGCAGAGACATGGTGGGCGGCAGCAGCCCGAGCGGGAGAGAGAATTTAGAGGACTTCTTCTGATGTAGATTTGATAGATTAGCGACTATTATTTGAGAAGAGTTAGCTCGAGGGGAGGGTTTGCAGGACGTTGATTCGCGAGGAAAAATCTGCGAAGACGGCCCGGAAGGATCTTACGACGTTGGTGGTGAGGTCTTTGGAGTATGGTGTTCGTGATGGCTTAGGTTGAAGATCGTCCAGTGACTTTTGGAAACTCGGGTTTTGACTACACGATGTACCGTGAGCTCTGCGCTCTATCCTCTTGTTTCTTGAAGACCAAACGTACCAAGAAGGTGGTGTTGACGGTGCTTGACTATAGACACAGAGCAGTGCCGGGATTATAGGCGTGCCAGCAGAGATCGGCAACAGAAGCCTCAAATAGCTGGGTAGAAGCTTCTTTCACTCCAGTAGGATGCGCTGGGGGTCACTTCCCACCGCCAGATTGAAGAGAGTGGCATCGTGATACAAGAACCGCTTCGAGAAAAACAGATTGTGAGAGATTTTTCATTGCTGCTAACACTGCAACGCAGTTCTGTTGCTGTCCGCCAAAGGCTGCTCTTCGTTAAGAAAGTCTTCCGACTGACCCTGCGGTAGTGAAATGAAAACTTATCGGGCACTCAAGCTCTCACTTGGACACGATTCTAGGAGACCATCGCTCAATTCATTTGCAATCGAAGAATTTCAAGGACTACGCCATTATGCACCTAATAGATTGCCTCGGCCGAACGGAATTTATCCTTCTCTCACGTGCTCCTCCTATTGTCGTTTGCAGTTGAACTCCAACTGCCACCAACACTATCCCCCCTCGGAAGCACGCTCCACCACATCACACAACTTGAAAAAACTCCGAAACGTTTTTTGCGCCTTTCCTCCTCAATCGATCTTCTTACTCGTCATATAATACGACGATAGAAAGTCTTCGTTCCTACGCGATAGATCTTGAACTCGTCGCCTCGGTCGCAGCTGGTACGTCTAAGAATCTTCACAAGATCTCTTTGGAAGATGGATCCCTGTTATTAACCCTCATCCCAGGACTACCTAACGACCCAACCGCATACTTTCCGCTCGTCTGAGAAGATGGTTTGCTGTCCAGCCGCAACGCTACCGCTCACAACTCGACGGCGCCATGTCGCCACACGGCTCGTCAGCTTGCAAGAGTGGCAACGCTGGTCATCTGGCCAAACCACCCCACTTCCACGCATTGCTCCCACGATCTTGGAACGCCGCCTGGCATGACCTTACAGGAGCGCTTCTATCGTGATCAGAGTAGGTCTCCGCAAACCCGACCCCGCCTCAGTGTCGCAAGAAGAAATCGCCCACTTCCACACATTGCTTGAAGCGGCTCCTACGCAATGCTCGCCGTCGAATGTTCAGGTTTGTCTATTCGCCCTACGATATCACAAGAGTACGACTGACGAGACTGGAACTGCAAGGCATGGCGTTTGAAGAACACCACACCATCTCCGGCAAGGATTACAGCGCTGGGCAAATGTTTAGCGCTTAGTCGACGCAATCGCACTGCAGGTCGATCGTATGTAAAGACGAGCCAAGGTACAGCAAGATGATGTCTGAAGGCGGCGGCGACACCCAGGAGGCTAAGCATTTGCTAGGTACTTCGACGTTCACCAAGATGGTGGACAACACCAATTCCAATCCTTTCAACAACAAGAGGATCTTCAACGCTCTACGTAAAGCGGCTTAGAGTCACACCCTGTTAGTCGAACAGACAAGGATTGCCGCTTCTACGAACCAAAGTGAGAAGCCCGCTGAGCGAGACCGGAAAGACAAGTCGAGGGGGTGATATTATGGGCAGCCTTGTGGTCAGCCTTTGGCTTATCCGCGTCTTTCGTGGACACAATGACTGGCGAGGGGGGCAAAGCTCGAAGGACGAGGGCCAGACGGAGGCGTCTACACATCCTCTACCTTCTGAATGACCTGTTGCACGACACCAAGTTTCACAGCGGCACTCCCACAGCGCATATCACCTTTACGACCAATCTCCAGCGACACGTCAACGCTCTGTTGGCCGAGACTATTCCCTTGAGTCTGTCTTCTCCGCAGCCGCAAGAGTTGGTGGCTATCCCATCCCTACACAGTTTTATCACTGCATCACTCCTTAGCCGGAAGCACTTCTCGTCTACCGTCCATCACCAAAGCCACAGCAAGTCACGGGACTGTCCGCCATCACCGCCAATGGCGCCTAACAAGTCACGCTCGAGGGTCCGCGCCGCCATTCGACCAGCAGGATCAGCATCGCGACAGCATACTACAAGACATGGGCTATCCTCAGGCTGACGAGCGACTGCAGGTACATGTGACCCTCATCAATGATCTACACATACAGGTGGGACACAAGTGCTGACGTTGACGAATAGTTCCCCTGCAGCCGTATAAAGCGCCACCTGCGAAACATAACGCGCAACCGGACGCACATCAGCGCGAAAGCCTCCATCTACCTGACCACGGCGCTCGAGTACCTGACAGCCGAAGTGCTGGAGCTGGCGGGCATCATGCCGATGGATCTTAACAATGTCGACGGCTCGCTTATTCAACGTCAGCTATGTTCGTGGCGGAGCTCACACTTCTGAATTTCGAAAACGTCCATACCGAGCTTGTATCCGGGGATGATCGGTCCCCACCTCTATCGTCAGTCACTCGGCTTCTCGCGCCATTCCGACTACCCGTCATTCACGACGGCTGCCCAACAATCAACATGGCACCCATCACCAGCTCCACTGGCCGGGGCGGCCTCGGCTGGATCATTGTCGACTCCCTCAACACGATGGTCTTGATGAACCTCACGACGCAGCTCAAGCACGCGCGCGACTGGCTTGACCACCATAATGACCACGACGTCAACACGTTTGAAACGAGGATTCGTATCCTGAGAGGCCTTCTCTCCGCCCATCACTTGTCGATGCAGCTTCCTCGCTACGCTACAAGCGGCGATGCAGCTTCCCGAAGCAAATGCACGTCACGATCATGGACGAGAACTGATACTTCGACCAGCAGGAGCTCAAAATCCTCTAAGACTTCGATCCAGGATATTCAAACCCGGTCAGCGAGCTGGTCTTCTTCGTGGAAGAGTTTTCCAACCCTTTGACTCGTGTGGCGAGGATGTCATGACGGCTCCTGGGTGGCTATGAATGGACGACCGGTCCGTGTTGCCAATAAGTCGGACTGGAATCCCGTATGCAAGCATCAGCCTGAAGACCAGGAAATTCGGCAGGATCTCCCAGCGAGAGCTTGCAGGCGGAGAGGCAGGAGCAAGAAGCTCATGAAGCAAGAGTTCAAGGTCTTTAGAGAGAAGCGGACATAGAAGAAGGAGGAGAAGCAGAGGGCGTGGTTGAGAGATTGAGATCTCTTGGCAATGTAAGACCTCAGGCGCTCCCTGAACTCTACCTGGAGCAAGCGAGCGATTTCGCCGACTGCCGCCTTTCGACCTCCAACGCGGTGAGTGCGCTCAAGGCTCAATCATCACTGGACCTTGCCAGCCAGGTTACTCACCTGGCGAAGGAGGTGGGCACAGAAGGATGATTGGCTGGCTAGGCCTCGCATCCAGGTGTCAATGGCATATGGGCCGAGCTGACCGCGACTGCATGGTCCATGCCCACAACGCCATCCCCTTCGTCGCATTCTTCATCCCCTACACCACGACGCTCTCGCTTGACTGGCCCTACGTAGCGCGCATCGACGTGGATCCAGTCTCCATGTGCGCGGCAACAAAGAACACGCCAGGAGCGGCATCAGCGGTATGTGGGAAATCCTGCCTCATGAATGAAGACTTCGCCAGATAAATGCAGTCACCGGCGTGAATGGAACCTCACAGAGTCGATAGCCCGGCTGGTCGACTCGAAGGCAATGATTGAGCGTTGGTCTCGATCGCGCTCAATCGAAGCCAACGACTCAGACCGTTGCGGTCCTCTGCGTGCTGGCTATGGCCCGCTCTTTGACGACTGTTGTAGACGCTCACCGCTGCCTCGTGACTACTACAACCTTCTCTTGGCTCTTCGACAGTAAGCTTGACCACGCGGAAAACTTGGTCTCGCCGGAGAATGCTCAGACTGTGTGGTTGCCAGAGTCGTCAGTCTTGGCTGTTCATCAGGCCTGGGAGATGGAACTCGTTTGAAGATTAAAGACGCAGATGGCTACAACCATAGCGAAGATGGCAAGAAGCCGCGACAAGATATTTCCGTTCAGATCTCTGACGCACGGCGTCCTCTCTCGCAACTTGTGCCCCAACACTCCGGCAAACTCGAACCGGATCCACCTCTCCACCAATGGATTCAAGCTGCGGACCTGCTGTGGACCCTTCACCTTGGTGCTTGCCGCTGGCGCTCCTGTCTTTTGCGCCGCCGCTTCTGTCGTTGCGTCTGGAACTTGCACCGTGAGCAGATTAGAACTGGCATTCATGGGAGCGGCCTGAGCGGCTTCCAAGCCAGTCTTGATACACGCGACGAGAAGAAGGCTTGGAGAGTCAGCGAGATAGGCTGGCTTGATACGGCAGCCGACGGACAGCGATGTCGCGAGCCATGATCTCGTGACAAGTCAAAGCATACAGGAAAGAGCAACGCTGTGGGAGTTTTGCATGAGCGCCGTCGCGAGGAGGCATAAGGTATTGACAAGAATGGCATCCTCCAAGCGTCTAGTGGTGGCGCTGGCACCGCGATCTCAGACACCGCATCGCCTCCGCGTCCGTCTCGCATCCACTTCTAACTCAAGCGCGCACCGCACACCGTCCAAACAAACACCTCACAGTCAGCTCTCTTCCGTCGCCGCAGAAACCCTCCACCGGCGCACCCGTCCCTTTGCCCACGGTCCGTCTTCCAGCCACAGATGCTTCCAAATGCACACCCAACACTGTCTGACGTACCACGACAACAAGCTCAGTAGCTGAAGTGCCCTTCTGCTCGCAGCTGAGCTCTCACTCATGGTCCGCAGCGGCAGCGGCAGCAGCTGGTGCCCCACCACTACATGCAGTCAATCAAGTCGCTCAGGTACAGACGGACATCCTGAAGTGACGGAGGCCGGTTGCAAAGCCCGATACCTGATGATCGCGCTGTCTTGGTCGGCACAGCGCACCGCACACTGAGATAGCTGCCCTGGTGCAGGCTGTGAGTATTCGCTGGTGGGCTTCTCCTAGGTAATGCTCTGAGCGATCCGGAGCAGTTCGCATCTAGTTTAGGCGGTACGACAGGCCGCGAGCGGTGTCTGTGTTTTGCTATCATGAGAGTGTAGTCCAGTCGGAAAGGTCCGGTGTCTTAGGCGAGACCGAGAAACACCTGTGAGTTTCCCGATGCCGTTTGATGCTGTATCAAGCACCCGACAGCACAGCGTAGGTATCTTCAAGGTTTTCACCCACGAGTCCAGCGAGCTGACGCATCACAATAGAAAACCGGCGGAAGATCGGGACGTCCAAGAGGCCAGCAACTGTCAGCGTCTTGCAAGTCGGTTGTCCGAATGCCGAGAGTCAAGACGGCGGCAGCAGTCCACGGATCCATCGCAAATCGTTCCCCCGAACTCGCCATCCAACCAACTCCCCCCATGCAGCCGCGAATGCCTTCGAACCACAACGCCTTTTGCAGCAGGCAAATACAAGGAAGTTGCTGAGCGGCAAATCAGTGTTGAACGTCCCTTGAGAGCTGAAGGATGGGTGGAAAGAGTCAGGCAGGCAGGCATGCGAGCAACAGCGGAGGAGGATTTGACATTGAGCTGCGCGGATTTTGGAAGAGATTGAGCGGCTGGAGGCTGGAAGCGCTGAGTGATCGGATGATGTTTTCTCGAAAGCTGGAGTTTTGACATGCCGCAAGGTTGGTTGGAGGTCGTTCAAGCGGCGAGGTTTTCGCACTCAATTTCGGATAGTAAATCGTAGACCGTAGAATCTGCAGAGCTGCTGTGAGGCTAAAAACGAAGATTCTGAAGAAGTCGTCTTGGAGCCGTTTTCATAAACTCAACACCATGAAAATGCATCGTGACCGTGATCATGCTGCAATTTGTCAGCTTCAGAAATGCAATCTCCCCAGAGTGCTTGTTCTCACCTCAATCTCAACACCATGCCAAGAGACCGCCGTGCCCCTCCAACCCACCACCTCAGACGAGACGACCCCCAGCGCCCATGGATGCCCCTCCCCACCATACCTCACCACTCATAAGTACCCCCTTCTCCACTACAGCCAGCAATTTCACAGCTATATCAACACAAAACTCCACTCTCACATCCATCAGCGGCCAGTTGGTCTAACGGTATGACGTCCGCACCACATGATGTACGATAGATGTCTGGATACGTGTGCAGATACGTGTTTCGGGTATGTATTGGTACGTGTGGGGGACGCGGAAGACGGGGGTTCAATCCCTCCACAGGCCATTCTTTTTGGCATTTTCGTCCTCCAATTTCCCCAAGTCTCCTGGTAGTCGCCTTTCTGGTGGCAGGCGGCGGCGCGGGGTGGTTATGTAGTGCAAAAATGGGTGTGGATATGTATGAGGGCCGGTTGGTCTAGTGGTGATGATGTCCGCTCCATATGTTGTACGAGTAGGTGTGCGAGTACGGTGTGTGGGCGTGCGGAAGACGGGGGTTCAATTCCTCCACCGGCCAGTTCTTTTTAGCATTTTGCGCGTCCTCCATTTTGCACGGTATGGTGGCGGCGCTGAGGTTATCGAGTACGAAGATCGGTACTGTAGAACGTATCGGGCCGGTTGGTCTAGTGGCAAGATGTCCGCACCACATGTTGTATAGTAGTGTATAGGATGTGTGCGCGGAAGACGAGGGTTCAATTCCCTCACCGGCTATCTTTTTGGGGTTTTTTTTCAATTCGCTTCAGTGGAGTCCTGACATGGCGACGGCAGCGTAGGCCTATGGAGAGAGTTGATGCCACGATAAATAGAATGATGTTGCTGATGCTGAGTCCTGGAAGACTGGATGGAATGCGGAGAGGCGAGGTCGAGCTGGGTGCAGTGCATGCGTGTGCGGAGATCTCCGTTCCCCGTGGGTGGTTGGGTGCTCTCCGCCTGATCATACCTCCTCCGTAGCACGTGACCGTGGCGATGTCTTCTCCGATGCCGCACGCTCGGAGCCATGCGAACTTCCTCCCGTTGGCTGGGAATTGCATCTGGTACTCTCGCTTGTGAGCCTCTTCGTGCACATGGACAGCTTAGGCCACTTGTATCGGAGGAGGCAGAGGAAGCAGACAAGAAATAAGAGAACGGAAACGATGATAATAGACTGGACGGCCTCGCGACTTGCCTTGCTATTTGTTGACTCGGAAGACATCTTGACCGAGATATCGAATTGAGTAGACTCAGAGTGAGAGATGTGGAAAAACTGGTAGCAATCCTGAATCAAAAGGGGTAGCGGTTGGAAGGTGACTGTCAAGCAGCTACGCACCAGGATTGCGGAAATGCTGCTAAAGAAACGAGACAAAGACTCAATAGAGGGAACAAGGTGAGACTGTGGTTCAAGAATTTTGTCCTGTGGAAGATTAAGTGTGGAAGACAAAAAGAAAACGAAGAAAGCTGAATCTGACAAAGGAGACAACCGGAAGGCAAGCCGGGCATAGTAAAACAAATGAACGCAAGAGGGTAAACGTGGGTTTGCTAGCGAGGGTTGCTGGAGACGGTCAACGCGAGGCAACTTATGGGATAACGCACGTAAATGGTAATTGCGGAGAACGGATGGCTGTACTTGAGAACAGCAGTATACTTTGCGAAATCCGTGAGGCTGTAAGCGAAAATTAAAGATATTGCAAGTTACTCGGTAGACAGCTCTTGTTCAATCAACGAGAGTGTAATCAATGACATAAACATATCTAAAGATTGACAGACCTACCTAGATGTAATACTTGTAAAAGAGATAGCAGGAACGAAAAAACTCCGAGACTGAGATGCTACGATAACGAAGAAAATGAGGACCAAGAATCCGGATGGAACGTGAAAAACCTGAACAGAAATGACTGCGAGATCTCGTACAAACCGTGTGAAGGATGGGAATGAGGAACCCCTATGCATGACTTGGGAGAGACTGAAGCTTAGGAGAACGTCACGTGACAAACTTGATAGGGATGGCAGAGTAGAAAGAACGGATGAAAGGACACCAAGAGAAATAGATATCAGGATGATGGGTTGGGGGAGCTTTCTCCGCTGACTGGGAACAGGCATTTCCAAACTTGAGTGGACTTTGCACAGGAAAGGGACTTCGAATGGGAGGCCACGTGACATGTCCGGTTTCGCGGACTGCTGACAGAAAAAAAACATTCAGTAGACTTTGGTTCAAAGGGATATTGCGCGGACTTTTCTGAGACTGTGATTGGGAGATAGAATTCATTTTGAAGGTGGGGAACTGGAAAAGAAAGACTGAGTGTAGACTGGTTGCTGATATGCGAGCATCTCAAAGGTAGACTCAGAGCAAAACTGCAAACACTTGGCAAAAGAACGGAGGTCCGCAGGAAGAAGATATTAGAGAAACAGAAAAGGGTCAGATTGAATTTCATACGAAACAGGGCGAATAAGAGAACGCTCAAAGAGTCGGAATTGACTCAAGAATGGAGCGTTGGGAAGAGACAGGATGAAATGATCTTGATTTCGGTGGAGAAAGGAGAGAAAACGTATTGACGAGGTCAAGTGAGGGAATACTTGGACGAATAAGGGACACGGGCAAGAGTTGATTGTGTTGGGAAGGGCAAAGACCATGAGATTGAACGGAATACGGAAAGGAAGTAGGAACGTGGTCCGATAGGGACGCTGAACCGGGAAGCGGATGCGTGCCGGCGAGAAAGACTGCAGATAGCTAGGAAAGGCGTCGAACTTGGAAGTTAAGCTGCTTGCGGACAGATGAGACTTAAGCAAGGAGAGGACCGGAGGGACGACAGCCTGGGACTTGGGCAGAGAGAATCTACGAGCTGAACCATGAAGCACAACGACATCGATACTCTGGCAGATAGTGTGAAAATGCATCAATCAAGTGACTTTGGTAGTTTCAAGCAACTGAGGCGATGAAGAAAAGACCGGGCAGAGAATTCACAAAGAGATGCGGAGGATAGACATATTGCACCGGGAGAAAGACTGTGGAAGATCTTGAAGGCGGTTGGAAGCTGAATTGCTTGAGGGAGATTTGATTGAAAACCATGACAAGGTGGAGAGAGACGATGGATACCAGGCTTGACTGGAGGAACCGAACAGTAGAAGTATCAAATCCGGTAGTAAGGAGACTTGGATGGCTTGAGAACGTACGAGGCCGGAGATATCATAGAGCGTGAAGGTGAAAACCTGAAAGAGGATGAGATGGTTGAACGCCGACCCGCTTGAGAGAGAGATCAACTGACCAGAAACCGAGAAAGGACGCAGGAGATAATGACTTCAATAAGAGAAGTTGAGAGCAGATGCATGAAGCAACTCGGACGTATGAAGTAAACCAGCACTGATACTAAGATGAGTGTAAGAAAGGGGAAGTGGAGAAACCACGTCACGTGACACTGACTGCATGGAGCAATGAGAACTTTGGTGAGTGGGATTGGAAGAGGACGGACAAAGCACTTGCGACTGTGGACTTGAACATGGAGAATGATGTGAACAGACGCGGCGGACATGTCAAAACTACTAAGACAATGCGATGAGAGGTCGGGAAAATCAAATCACGTGACTTCCGGGATATGTAGTTACAGAATCGTATGAGAACTTAGAGGGTATGACAGAGATGAGTATGAGGTCCGGTTTTGACATGAGAGTGAGTACGAGCTGACTGATTGAGTGAAGAGATGCGAAGGCTGAACACGCTCAGACCAAGAAGACGGAATATTGTAAGACACATGAACAGCGGCTGGTACGGAGAAACATGGGAAGACTACGACACGAGACATTGACTGAGGTAGAGAGGTGTTCGACTTGCATGAAGACGGCGCGAACAGGACAGACCTGTAGCGTTGATCACTAGAATGATCGGAGGAGATTGGAGAGATGCGGATGTATGACACAAACCCTTCAAGCGAACGTGGTAGATCTTTGAGACGAGAGCGCGGGAGAGATGAACGACGATATGCGTAAGATCTGAAAGGCTTGAAGAAAAGGAACGCTTGGGATGTACGGGAAGTCGTGACTGAGACCTGGCAGCAGATGAGACAACTGAAGCAAGGACAAATGGATTGAAGGTTGTACTGGTTGACCTTGCAAGACGAGACTTGATTGAGAATGTGAGGAGGTAGGGGTGTTTCAGAAGGAAGGACTTCGGTAGACGGAATGACTGAGTAGATCTGACAGGACGAACCCGGAGGGAAAGACTTGAACGTGACGCATGTGCGCATAAAAGGAGACTGATTGAGACGACTGAGGTGATCGAGGTGACTGGAAGACTGAATGACTGAAGATGAGCGGTGGCATTGGATGACGGTTCGGAGGCTAGAAGAAAGCGCTAAGCGGCAGCGGACTTGGAAAGATCTACGTGAGCTGGTGAGAGACGGCGAACTGGAAGAGGGAAGAAGGAGATTGGTTGTTAGCAGAAGCAGAACAAGTCTTTGAAATGGGAAGGATGACTGGGTTGACTGGTGGCAGCGCTGAAGTCTGGCGGTGAGCGGCTTCAGGCCGAAAGTCGGGCATGATGAACTGCAATACCTTTTGTACGGTAGAGAGACGATAAGGAGACTGAAGAGGCTGTGATCCTGAGGCTCACAGTGTAGAAGGATGATGGCGGCGGGTGTGGGTTGGTGTTGAAGGAAAGTGGAAGGCGAAAGATCCGTCGCGGCTTCCTGGAAAAAGAGAAAGTGAGAGAACACCTCACGCTTGCCGCATCACGGTCGTTGTCACCTGCAGTCAGCGGAAAAGACTCTCCTCAAGAGCTGAACGATGAGCTGCTAGTGCTTGTTGCTATGCTGAGTGTGCTAGCGTGAGCGCGTCGTTGGTGGAGGAGTGTACAGGAAGGAAACAAGGAAAGAAGGCCGCTGTCGTGGTTGAAAGAATGGTGCGGAGCTCGGTCCCACCTTCCGCCGCCATGCCTTCAAGCCGCAACACCACCACCCACGCCAGGAGCACCCCTTCCATACCTGCCATCTCTCTTCCAATCCTGCCAGCAAGGCTTGCAGAGGTACCGGGACCTAAGTGCAACTCCTGCTGCCAACTCCAACCGCCGAAGTCCGGCTCGTGGTGCCGAAGATCGAAATACCTCCGCAGCAGGGAGGCCCGCCGACTCACCCCCACAACGCCTTGCAACACCAGCGGCATCATTTAGTGCTGCTGAAGCTGGCATGAGCGAGGCGTCCGAGCGCGTTAAAGCCTATGCTGACATGGAAGCGGGTTTGTTCTCTCCCTGAACGACACCGAACAGGCTCTCCTGGGCACCGAAGTCAGCATTCTGCCACACCGTCCACATGTTCGTTCAACGTGACACCAAGCAAAGCCGCATATCATGCCCCAGCATCTTCTACGAAAGCCTCCGAACGCCGGCTCAGAAACTCTCACTCGAATTTAGCCGTTGGAAGCAACCAGCGGACGACCCTTTATACACGCCGGCAGCCAGCAGCGCTTCAAAGCCAACAGGCAACTACGCAACATGATACAGCAGATACAGGCATAGCAGATGACACGAAGCCTTCGAGACGAATAACTTTGGGGCCGGGACCGTGACCCTGACCCCCAGCGCGGCGGACGAAGCCAGCGCGAGTCAACCCGCGAACAAGGACAGACACACCATCGCATCCGCAACAGCAGCCGCAGGGAATGGAATGAATAACAATCGCAATGATAATCTTTCTGGGTGATGGCCGAGTAGAACAATGGAGCTGGTGCCTAAGCAAGAGACTGAAGCTAGACAGCTATGACGGCCTCGCTGTCGCCATAGGCTACAAGGAACAGCCGAGGCGACTAAACACACGGTACCCATAGATGGTGCTCCAAGAAGGACTGCTCCAGGACCCAGGCCAATCTTTTGGTGCTTGCCCCTGGCTGAGCCATCCTCGCGACCACCGGGGCAGTACAGCTTCAGGCCTTGACCAGCGACAGCAAGGCCGCCGGAGAGACTCGCAAGCAACGAGAGGGCAGGCAACTCCTGCAAAGGGGCTCTGACCATGGCGCTGACGCGCTCGTACCGCCCTTCAAGCGTGCGCTCCTCGCTGACAGGCTGTTTCGTGATGTGGCCTCAGGCATCCGATCACGTGACCTTCCTCAGCTGAGGAGGCATGCACGGAAGAGAAGAGACGAGAGACGAGAATGGCATAACAACGAAACAATGCGCAAGTAAAGACTCTTGGAAAGTAAGAAGCAGTAAGATGCACATACCTTTTCCGGAATCTTCGCTCGCACCGCCGCTGTCGAGACTGCGCAAGGCACGCGAGATCTCAAGAGCTGCCATTGTGAAATCTGCTCTGCAATCAGGACATATATTAGAAAGATCGGGGTGCCTCTGTGGACTTACCCACTTCGCTCCCAGCACCAACACATCCTCTGGATGGGACTCCTCCGTTGGATACATGGATCATCAGAAGTCAGTGGAGCATATCCCGTGCCGGTGTTGCATCCCAGGGGAAATGATTTTCTGCGCTCTACCAGCCCTGTATCTGTGAGCACAGGATAGATGCTGTGCTTGTAAGTGTTCCATGGCATCATTAGTCTTCGCGGCATCGAGAGCCTCATATGAAGGAAAGTATTTTCATTCTACGAATTTCGTATGAATTTTCCTTCCTACTCGCCTCCGCTGCGTCTCTCCGCCGTTGGCATGGCTTTTCTCCCAGAGTCGGGTTTCCTCATGCGTGCTCGCCTTAAGTCCAGCTCTTTTTGTATTGTTCTGCTATGCAGATGGCATTTTTCAGCTTCCTTCCCTGTTGGTAGATTTTCCATATGTGCTCGGTGCTTTCCGTACGGTCAAGCCGCTCAGGTTTCCAGAGAAAGCCTCTCCCATCTGCGAGATTCGTTTCAGTGTTACTTTTGACTCAAATTCATGACATTCTCACCTTCTCGTCTTGCAGCTCCCTCATTCTCCGCCAATGGCCGAGACTGACACACTTTACCTTGTCACGTGACAAGTTATTCTCCTTCTCACAGCCTTCACGGCTCAGAGTCCTAGGCGCTGCTTTGCAGCTTGCCTCTCCGTGTGTTTTCTATGGCGATGCCATCCCCACTTTCCGCTCAAGAGTCTTTCTTTTCATCCGGCACCGGCAGGATTCTCATCCTTCCTCCGTAATCATGCTTTTTTCCGCTCCGCTCAAAGACGGCCAATGGCCAGTAAAATTCAAGTCTTCCTCATCGTCCTCAAACGTGTCCATCGTCTCATTTTCTGCCTTTCTCTTTACTGCGTCCCGTAGTGTCTGATTTTGTTCTTCCCAATTTGCAAACTCCAAGTCAGTTAAGGACATTGTCTGCCTGGTCCAACGCCGGAGCAAGACAAATAGCTCGTAACAACAACGTCGGCCTCACCCACGCACCACTGTTGACGTCTCCACCAGCACTCCCGGTAGTCGACTTCGTCCATCATTGATCCAGATACGATGGTCATGATGTCGGGCTCTCCAGTGTTCGAGAGGGCGCGACCAGACCAAGTATCGTCTGGTCTCCTGGCCCGCACCCCCTTTGCGCTTGTGATTGCCCGTGGAGTATTGTGACGGGTGCGCATGGCCAACGTCGTCCATCATTGACTCAAAGACGATGGTCACGTTGTTCTGGCATTTCGTCGTTGTGGGACTGAAGACTCATCCAGTCGTAGTGGTCTTCGCTGACCTGGCGCGCGGAAGCCTCCCGGCGGCGGAACCGGCATGCCCTATGACGGCGGCCCAGCATTGGTAGCATACCTCCTGGTAGCAGCATGCCTCCTGGCGGTGGGAAGGGCATCCTTTGCGGGGATTTGAAGGGGAGCAGAAACACTGAGGCAGGGCGATGCGGCGCGCGGCGGCTGCTTGTTGAGGGATGCACACGTCGGGATTGTTCGTCCGCAACGTCCCATTGGAAATGCCATCAGCAGTGTCAGGCCGTCGAGCAGCTGTACCCATGTTCCTGCATAAGAGCTTTCAGTGTTCCTGGTCATCACACACGACATCTCGGCTCCCGGCTCACCCTGATATTTCCCTTATCCGCCTTGCACCTTCTCATGGACGCACCGAACTGAGACTAATGTTGCCGAAGGTCGTCGTTCTTTGCTTGGACCGCACCCTTCTGCCTGAGCAGGGCGTGAAGTCCGTTACGCGGCAGCTGTGACTCCAGTCCATGGATCCGATTGTTGAGGCGCTCGGTCTGGTTCTTGGTCCTCTCACGGATGGCACGCTGGGCTTCTCGGTCATTAGCTTGCTTGCGGGCAAGCTGCTCGGGAGTGAGGTTCGCGACTCCGCGGGAGGAGAGGGGGCCGGACATTCGACGTCGCTTAGTAGATCTCGCGTTTACTTGAGCGCGCCCCCTCTCCCCGACCGCTTTCTCAAGGCTCAGCATGTGGCTGGAAGCACAGGTCAGTGACACTAGCCAACATATCCGGCATCTTGGGTCCGGCAACTTACCTGGCCGTTCTCCATGATCTCGAAAAGAACCCTAGACGGAGCGGGCAAGCTGCATAGCAGATAGCGGGCCACGGAGTAATCACCAGCAGGCCGACAGCCATAGCCGCCCTCATATCCTTACGATCGCATGTAAGAGACCGCGGAGAGTGAGCTCAAGTCGGCTGGATAGGTGGGGAACGGGCATCGCCGGAGTCAGCGCCGTCGTCCTAAACAACAGCTGGCTCAACCGAATAAATACTGCTGACTTGAGCCGCAGCAGTTTGGGCCTTGTCGTTCTAAGTCTGACCAGCGATAGATTGAGAGTGAGGCTGAGCTTCGATAGCCTGACCGCCAACAGACTGAGCATCAATTGCCTTGGTGGTCAGCTGGTCATCAGTTCCCTAGGTCGGCGGATCATGGCCGAATGGACCTTCGCCTCGTGCTGGGGTGGGCTCCTGGCCCTCCTTCCGCCAGGGACGGTGGGCGGCCGCACAGTCGGCTGTGACAACTCATGTACGGGTCTGGTTCATAAGTGGCACGAGGTGGAGTGCGGGCGTCATATGCGTCTTCGCGGTACTGTGGAGGCGGGCGGCCGTCCGTACCCTTCGTCGACCGGAGGAGGGCCACGACGACCGAACTCAATTCATTGCCATGGACCGTCTTGCTACTCGGGCACCAACACTGCGGATCCTTAGCATGTAGCGATCACGCGGATCGTGGTAGCTATGAATGACGCGTCAGCACCCACATATGCAAGGCTGTTCACGGAGTCCCCGCGCAAGGCGTCAAGTCAACATACCTCAGAATATCATCCCTTGCGTGCATACGTGGATCAATTCCTGGATCTCATCTGGAGCACAGACCCGAGCCAGTCTGCCGGAAAGTGGGAAAGAGGCAGTCCTTTGAGTGCCGCCGACTCGGCATCTGTCCGTTGGATGGCGTGCCGTGCATCAGCTGAGGTGGCGGTGGTGGCACGAAGCTATGAAGAATCGGGAACGGAGGGCCCTCTGTACCCAAGCCTATGTTCTGGAATAGTGGGGGAGGCGGAGGCCACCACCACAAATGGTGGTTTCGTGGCAATGTCGGCGTACTGCTCGCCATTGAGCTCTCGGAACTGCTTCTCCGCTGCCGCCTCTGCGTAGGATCTCAAGTGGGAGTGTTCGCTGTATCATCATACCCATCAGCATATCATTCTCTTTGGAAAATCGGAAGAGCAGTTTGGAAGTAAGGAGCAAGGCAAGACTACGGACCGGATAAGTGAATAGGCGATGCAAGAACCCACGCCCGTACCCAAGCTAACAACCTTCCTGTACTGCCTCTCCAGCTCGCCATCCCTTGCCTTGAGTGCCGGACTCTTCTGCAGCTGGCTGCTCTTGTTCGCCGCATAGGCATCCAGTCTGCTGCGCAGCACGGCAGACGAGGGGAGAGACTTCAGCACCGGCTTCCGGGGGTTGTAAAGATTTATCAACCGCTTTCAAAACCGACAACCTGCCACAATGAGGTTGACGAGGTTCTGAAGGCTGACATGGTCCTTATGTTCCTATCAGCGGGTTGTTGGCCTGGTTGAATATCCGAGTCGGACGGGCGGTGTCGAGCCGATGTCATCCATTCGGGCATGAAGTAGCTCCGCCCGGCTGCGAGACCGATGTGGAGGATGACGTCCGGGTTGACTTGAGTGATGATCTGCGGGTCTTGCTCGAGCACGGGGTTGTAGGCTACCTTCATTGGGGAAGGACGGACTGCCAGCCGTACCCAGGAAGGATGTCCGGCTTGACCTGAGCCATGGTCTGATGGGGAGGCACATGCCCCCATCGAAGACACGGGTCGTCATTGCGTCAGACGTGTCCTGAAGGTCTGCGCGCTGTGGCAATGTGCTCGATGTGCTTCCCAAGGATCCAGGCGAGACAATGCATTGGTCTGCGACTCGGCCTTCGTGAGTATCTTCGGTCGCAGTCTGAGATAGTCCTGTTGTGGCCGATCTGGACTTAGCCATGGAGGCGGCAACCGCCACACTCTTCATGCCTAGGGCTGGTCCACTCTTCGTCAGCTCTTGCTGCATGAACATTGTGGACTCTGAGGAAGCTGGAGTCTCGATCTGCTGTGGCTTGGCTGGGGTCATCTCCGGCGAATTGTACGTGGCAAGACCTGGCAAAGGACCCTTCTTGGGGCTTGAGACCCTCAGTTGCGCGAGCCTGGTGGAGAGATCTGCCATTGAATCGTGCAGTTTGTGCAGCGAGGACGTGCCCTCATCAGCCATGGTGAATGAATGAGGTTCCGATTTTATCATTAGCAGCCGTCGGGGTACCATTCCTGCTGTGTCATTCCGGAGAAGCCTTCCAGATACTGTTGAGGGCATGCCGCTGCTGGAGACACGGTTCATACCGAGCAGACTGGCCAGGCCATCTCAAAGCCGAATGTTTGCTACCGCGAGTACGGCGGACTGTAGTTGAGGAGGTGATGGGCCGACCGGGGCTGCTTAGCGATGAAGTCCGTTTTGGGTATCAGCGGCCCTGCTCTTTGGCGGCTGACCCCCGCCATGTCTTCCGGCTGTGGTTGCGACTGGGCCCTGAACGGGCCGCCGGTGCTGGGGAGGCCGTCAAGCGTGATCTGGAAGTCTACGCCGCGTCCGGAGGGGTTCGAGATAGCGATGAAGACGCCGCGCACGTCTGTCGTCGCGCTGTTGGGCAGTCTCGCCTCGTAGGATGCCCAAATGGGGTTGTTGGTGACGACTTCGGCATCGTCCAGCCATGGCGGAACCGCTGTCCCTGAGGAAACATCCGTCGAAGTACAGATTTGGACCAGACGAGCAACCGAGTAGTCCACGGCCAATTCTGGGAAGTCCTGCGGCGCAACAGAAAACAGCGCCGCAGGCTGACTGAGGAGATATGCTTCCCTTCCCAGCGGTCGGGGTATCATTCCTGCTGTGCCATTCTGAGGAAGTCTTTCAAGAGCCGCACAGAGTCTGAGATCTCTGATGCTCTCCATCTCCTTGAGATTCCTAGCAACCTTATCGCGCGGTGCCGAGTCTGTTGGCGCAATACGAGGGTCTCTCCCGCCTAGCATCCTCGATGTAGCGACGATATGCAAGTTGCATTTTTGGATCGACTGCATCGTGCTCGGTGAGAGGGGCCAGAGTCTGTCATACTTGTCACTCCTGTTGTCGATGGGGAGATTGAAAGTAGCTTGTCTGCACAGAACCGTCATGAACTCGTCGTAAAGCTGACGGTTGACGAGCATGATGCTATTTCGTGTGGGAACTCTGGAGGCCTGCGGTATCGCCAGCGTCTTTGGCCGCAAGATCTACGCGAAACCATGAGCGAGACCGGGTGTCCACGTGGCTGCGACGGTTGGAGGTCATGGGCAAAGGACCGCCAAGCCTCCCAGGTCTTACAGAGAATCGATCTCTCCGTACTCGTTGTGATTTCCAGATGTGATGGGTACCGCCGGAACGTATCTATTGGCTCCACCTCGGATCCTGCCAACGCGCGACAAGCCCATGGGCCGAGCGCCGAAGGGTTTGAGGACGTAAAGAACTCCATGTAGTACATGAAGGTGGCGGCGACGAAAAGGAGGGGGCCGAGGAGACGCTCCCTGAGCATGTTGGAGCGTCTGGACTTCGCATAGAAGGGCTTGTCCTTGTACGTTGGGAGCTCCATGACAAACCCAGCTGACGATTGACGAGCATGATGCTGTTTCGTGTGGGGACTCTGGAGGCCTGAGGTGTCGGCAGTGTCCTTGGCGGCAAGACCTTGCGCAGTAGCACCTTGAAGTGGTCGTACACGCGTTGATAAGCTGCTCTACGACGTGTGGCGATGGAGTGAGGCAGGAGGTGTCTTGTCTTGCTCCTTTCTGGACGCATCGCCTTGGAACGAATATCCGACATCGTATGACGTCTTATCCTCCGTGGTCTCCGCCTGGATATACTGCCCAACAACCATCGAAGATTCGTTGGCGGAGAGATGCCGGACTCCAAACGCTTGCTTCTTAATGCCGATCAAGGCCATCAAGTGCCTGTCGACCATCCCCAGCAACGATCGCCAAAGACGTGTTAGCTGAGAAACGTTGGACTCCAAACGACTACTCCTCGGTGCGCATCGAGCTCATCACCTCCCTGTCGAACCGCGTGAGCACTGTATTGTCAGGTTAGATCTGCCTCCTTTCATGGAGATTTCGAACTCACGGGTAGAGTCCAGCTTGCGAAATTTAGTTAGCTTCGGATCCTCCGTCTCGTCCTCAGTCTCGTCCTCAGTCTTGCGCTTGAGTGGCTTCTTGGGCGTTTTTGGCATCTTTGGCGTGACGGGCGTAGTATCTGGGGTTTCGTTCGTCGCGGCAGCAGAAGTTGCGCCATCACCCCCGACCCCACTAGTGGGGACGCCAGCGTTGTGTCCTGCGAGAGTCCAAGTGTTAGCCTTCACACCATCACAATCCTGAGAAACTGACTTACACACTGGTGGACGCGTCCACCAATAAATCGGGGGTAAGCCTATGCCGAAAGCCGCCCTCGGGGTCTGCATTGGCCGTTCGGCAGCGCCGAACAGAAACCTGATCCCAACTTCCTTCCGCTCGAGCTCCTCAGCCACGAGATTATGTCCTCCATCCATACTGCCGCCGTCTCCAACCAGGGACTGCTCGTTTCGACCGGAACGGAAGTCCGACGCACACGACCTTCTGGGTGATGTTGGTGTGGGTTGATCCAGTACGACCAACGCGGATGCGGACGCGGTCTTCCACCATGTGGTGTTTCCGGAGCTTCAAGCAGCTTCCCGTTGGGGGACAAGTCCATTCCACGCTGGTGGTGGGGAACCTAGGCCCAGCGTGTTTCGCAAATGTGGCCTCCGCGTTGTGCTTGCGGTCGGGATCAACCGACCGGGCCTGAGCACAACATGAGCGGAGCCTGTTGTAAGCGATGGACTTGGACGGTAGCAGGCGAGTCCCAGCCATGCTGGTGAGAGGAAAACACCTTTCCAGTATGGTACGCAGATCTTGGCTTCTGCATCTTACTCGCGGTCGGGATCGACGAGGACCAGAGCAAGACATGTGCAGAGCCTGTTGTGAGCGAGGGACTCGAAGGATGGAGGACGACTCGTGTGGAACGGATCGTAGCGGTTGTCGAAACCGCCATGGGTAGACCTGAGATCAAGATCTTGTCAGCAGTTGTGAGTGGAGACAGCGATGATGAGACCTACCAAAGCCCAAAGGCTCGAACAACAGCCGCCCAACGGCCCTTCCAATTACCCCCACTGAGTTCCCCAAAAGACTGTCCAACCAAGACTCGATCTTCCAGACATGGCAGGGATACTGTTTGCTAGAATTAGTGCTGTGGCTAGGATGAGGAGGGTGAAGCACAAACCTTGCGAAGAATTGCGAGAAAAATTTTCTCCTGTGTCTGCGTTGGGCGCCAGTAGTCAGACGGTGGGTGGTAGTTGGGAATGACCTTCGTGGCCTTCTCAATAAGCTTGTGGCGCTCTTCTTCCGAGCGCTGACATGGAATGTCAAGACCAGTTCGGGCTTGTGTGGCTTGTTCCTCAAGCGCCTCGACGGACTTCAACCAGTTCTCCGCATCAAGAGTGTCTTTGAGATGCGGAAGGAAGAGAAGGAATCTTCGCGGCTGGACTTGCAGGATGGGATCCAACGATGACCAGTAGTTCCTGAAGTCCACTTGGTGTGCGACGTGAAGCGGTTGTAGAAGTAGAAGGCTTGTGCGTTGGCGTCCCAGATGGGCTCACAGCCCTCAGTCGGCAGGCTTACAGTCCAGCGACTGCGGCAAAACTTGGAGCATCGCGGTAGCGGTAGTCACGCGTGTTGACACGGCGGCCGAAGTTGTTGCATTGCGGCGGGGGCGAGGGAGATCTGGTCCTTGTCAGAGAGAACGTCTGCAAAGATGGCACTGGATGGCAGCTTACCTGTCGCCATCGGCTGGGACGCGCCGACCCTACTGAACTGTCGTCTCGTTGCAACCGCGCATTTCGGCTGTTGAATAAGTTGTTCCACGTGGTTGAGCTGGTGTATGTTACTGCATGCGATCTCAGAACGAACTATTGGATTGGCGCGGCGGCGTCGAGCGACGGCTCTTGATGTCCTTTCATGCAACGGTGGCTCGACTGGACTCTCAAGGGCGCCGAGAGTGCTGCTTGTCAGGTCGCGCATAGGCAGGTCGTAGTTGCTATGAGAGGTAGCCACGATGCGGCTGCGACAGAAGGCGAACAAGAGCGTCGACCACGGCGGCAGCGGCTAGGTTGGTTGACCTGGCTGCCAGAATGACACCGTTCATTGCAGATCTGGGGCGCACTTCGCAAGTGATGCCTAGGGTTTTTGTCAGTTGGCGAAGATCTCTGCTAGGGCGAAGTAGAGCGGTGGTGGATGTAGAACTTACGAGTTGCAAGACTGGAAGATCTTGAGCTTCAGTCGAAGATCTAGTGCTATCGTCAGCACCGAGAGATCTTGAACCAAAAGCAAGGAATCAGAGGTCAAGATGAAACTTACCGGCAGGCCACAGTATCCTCGTTCTTGCGGGCTTGCTGAAGTTGGCGACTCTTAGGATGTGTGTCGTGTTGATCCAGCAGGGCAGAGAGCCGTGTATAGATCAGGCTCCCTTCGACACGCTCGGGTGACCCTACTCAGGCGACGACAGCGATGGACGGATAAACGATGCCGATATTAATGCGGGATGATGCTCATTGTACGTGTAGGAAAGAACAGGAAGAAGGGTTCTCGTCCGAGTTATCGGCTGCCAGTGGATGGTGCGATTCGCTCGACCTGATCCAAGGAGCACAACTCAGTACCGTGTTCAAACGATAGCAATGCAAGCTAATGCGAGTTTCCATGGTTCGATGATCTTCTGTTGAGAGCACCTACACCTTGCTCAGCTTATTGGAGAGAGGATTCCTGACTGCTCGACGCGTGTAAAGACCGAAGGGTGTGTAGATCTGTCGAGTTGAGGTTGTGGAAGCCGACCGGCAATCACGGAGACTCCTTTCCTCGGCCTGAAAGGACCTCAGAGTGACTTCGCAGAAGTGTTCTGGAGATGGGAGGCCATCGAGAAAGGGTCTTTCGATGCTGTATGATGCTGGCCGACTGCACTCGAGGTGCCGTAGAGTTCGTGACTGCGTCCCTCGTAGAAAAGAAGTCAGTTGGGGCGACGTTCGAGTCAAGATCTTCTCGTAGGACAGCAGCCAGGGCTGAGAACGACGCTATAAATGCGCTCAAGACATGAAGAGAGCTGTACTTACAAAGGCTGCTGGCTGCTGGGGATAGAACTGCACTATGCCCCCGAATCATCCCTTCCACCATCGAGAAAAGGTCGGAATGAAGGTAAGGACTGCCGTAAGCTGTGCCCGTGTGTGTTCCGGATACTTTCAAGAGATCAACAAGTCAAGGCTGAGCAAGAAGCTGGGGATGTCGAGGTGTTGAGGTCCCGCGAGGCAGAAATGCGAAGGGCGGACGTTGACGATCCCTTGCATCTCCGCCAAGAAAACCCTTTGACAATACGAGACTTCACAGACAACGTGACTTCTCCGCAAAAAGGCATCGGTTCATGAGGTTCTATATCTACACGCTTCAACAGCCAGAAAGAACCGCCTCCAATACCACAGAGTCCTATCCCTCCACGCATCCCCCAAATTCCCACGCCCCGTCAATCCCCCACCGGGATAGGTATCCCACCCCCAGCCGCGACTCCACTCCCCTAACGCCCTACTCCTCCCTAACCCACCAAAAGATGAATCTGCACCGCACGCATGCGGAGTTCACCCCATTCGGGTTGGGCACGATTTGCGGCTGGTTGCAGCAAACGTAGCCCTGTGGGCGTTCCCGCCAACGGCGGACGGTGCTCCGAAAGCCCATTCTGCGGGATGTTTGACGTCGTGATGAATGAAAAGGGGTTTTTGAAGAGGGAACACTGGGTAAGAGATCTGTCAGAGCCTTGACGAGGAGTTGGAGGTTTAAGCAGCTGGTGGGGAAAGCGGATCTTACGGCTTTGAGGACAGGTTTTGAGCGAGGAGAGCTGAATCTCAAATTTAGCTGAGAACTTGAAGTTGGACTGGTTTCTTGCGAGAAACGGAGGGAAAGAGAGTCTTACGAGGATGATGCTGGCTGTTTTCCACGAAGAAGCCTGTGTAGATTCGATTGAGGGTTTTTCGAGGGATTCGGGTGATCTGGAAGCTGTGGGCGTAAGAAGGGGAGAGCACAACGCATAGCCCATGATGGATGCAGCGGGATCACATGTTTCTTCACTCTTCACTTCCAGGGGCCAGCAGGAGTTCTCTGCATGCCTCCCATCATTGTGTTCATTCAAGATCGATGGCTGGAGAAGAGCTTCACGAAGGTTATTCCACCACCTTGCCAGGCGAACGGAAGCTAGGGGCTATCATTTCGAAACTACGGAAGACCCATAAAAGCCCACTCCACCCCCCAGCACTCAAGCACCATAGCGCCACCTTCTAGCCTAGGCTCCTACGACCACGACGCCGCATCCGCTCACAACACATCACGCCCCTCCCTCCACCCTTACCAAGCGACCATACAGCGGCTACAGCACCACCGTCCAACCTACAAATCTGTCAACATGCGAATAGAGTCCAGCGAAGAGTGAAGTGGATGAAACAGCGGGAGATCCGGTCTTACCTGGATGGCGGTGTTGTAGCCACCATGTGGCCGCTTGGTGAGGATGGAGGAGGGACACGGTGTAGTGCGAGCAGATTCGACGTCGTGGTCGTAAGAGCCTGAGCCAGGAGGTGGTGCCCTGGTGCTGGAGGAAGCCGGTGGGGTATGCGGCGGTGCTCGAGACTCTGGAGAACTGTCAGCGATACTATCCTTGACAGTGGAAGACAATGGCCTTCTTCTTGACAGGAGTTGGAAGAGGCCATCTGACTTGACTCACCCATTGACGCCCAAAGACACAGAAGCAATTCGGTCTTAGGAATTGGTCAGTCCGCAGAGATTTCGCGCGTTCATAAACTCGGAATCCATGGCGCGCAGCGCAGAACGTCAATTGGGAGGTCGGTTGAAAATATTGTGGCAGTCGGCTTGTTGACTCCGCTCTTGGGAGCGCTTGAGCGAACGCTGTTGGAAAGGATAATCCAGTCAGCACAAGTGTTGCCGCGAAATTAGCAGACGGTGCATACCGGTTATGAATCAAATCCGAACCTATCCAAAACAGGCTCCCAAAGGACTCGATGGTGTGTTTGAGGGCAGTGATTGACTGTGGAGATTGGAGCTCGACGAACACTTGGCTGTTGATCCTTGATCGTCAATGGCTGTGCGATGCAACCAGCAGGGCAGGAAGGTGGTGATTGGGTGGAGAACGGGAGATGCGTACCTTCTTGAATTGCTAACCACCTTGTGCTCGTTGAACGTAACGTCAATCACGTCATCTGTCCCTTACTGCCGCCGAAGTTCCCGAAGAGGTCCATTGATCTCTTGGATACTTCAGTTTCTGTGAGCGAATCTCACGTGATCCACATACAGCGAGGAAAGTGTCGAGGCTGTAGCAGCTGCGGATCTTGAAGCAAGCGAAGTACGCGTGTCAGAGGCTATCAGGAAGTTTTCTGGACGACGTAGCCGTTTCGACCAGGCAACTCGAAATGCTTGTGCTCAGTGTCAGCCGTGGTGGTAGTTGCCGAAGCGGTCGTAGTGGCCATCCATGACGGGTTGCTGGTGGTACTGCATCACACCACTCTTGTGTTCGAAGTGGTGAGGCTGAAGTGCGCCCCGCCGCGGAATCCATGCTGCCATTGCTGGGCTGCTGGATCAATCGACTGACCCTGCATACGAGCATACGCGATCTGGTAGCGAGTGATATTGATCGGAGGTTGCGAAGTTGAGACAGAGAACGGGCTGAGAGAGACATCTGAGCAAGTACCAACGGACTCAGTGAAAGCACCCACTGGCTGAGGCCCTGTTCCAATGCGTACAAAGTCGGGTTTGCTTTGTAGGAGCACCGCGTGTCCGTCTTCATCATGGCCCGCAATGTGTGAAGCGGTTGTAGAAGTAGAAGGTTTGTGCGTTGGTATCCCAGACAGTTTCCCAGCCATCCTCAGACTCTGAGGGAAGTGCTTCTTGTGGCAACGGTGGGCCGTTCGGGATGGGCTCATCAGGTAAAGGTGGCCCATCAGGTGTTGGCTCATCTGACCATGGAGGTCCATTGGATGTAGGCTCTTCTGGTGTCCCAGACGGGTTCCCACCCGTCACCCGCCAAGATCCAAGTCAGAATCCATGCCAGAAAGGGGTGACTTTTTCCCGCACGTCGTAGTCGGATACGAATAGGCCTTTGGCCCTGAATCTTGGCAGGCCGGCCGGAGGGACCAACTTCAGTGACGAAACTGACATTCGAAGTTGTCCGAAGATCTCGCTCTGCTCTCTCAAGCCGTCAGCAACTTTTATCGTGAGAGCGTATGTTCTCAAGCGCACTTACTGGATCTTCTCCGGTGACACATGCGGGCTAGGCTACCGCATCGCCTTTGAGAAGCGATTGTAGAAATAGAAGGCTTGTGCGTGAGTGTCCCTAACGGCTCACAGCCAAGGTGAAAAGCCTCCGGTTGATAGAACAATGTAGATAAGGGAAGTCGGCAAGATAGATCCGCGATTTCGGGAGAAGGATCGGCTCCAGGCGCGGGACACGGTTGGCCTTGAGCTGAAGTTCCCTGGAGCAGGACCTCACTAGCTCGCAAGGGTCAGTATCTTTCAGCGGGGCAGTGGACAACGGTGAGAGCTTTGACAAACCTAGAAAATCGTGCGGCATGATTGAGAAAAAGCGGTCTTTTCGGGAAGAGATCACTAACACCGCCGGCTGTGAGTAGTCTGAGCACGTAGACACCAGAGGCAGTGGACAGATGAGCGGTGGACGTCGTTGTGAGCACGATTGCCGTTGTTGAAGGGTTTTTCTCGCGTGATCTTGGCAGCTGGGAAAGCCAGATCTTGAAATTCGAAACTCGGTCAGCGTCGACTGAGGAGATATCGATAACAAAAGAACTTAGTATGGCAATTCGCATGAGAGTTCAACAGATACTTCAAAGCACTGTGGTGGTTTGCGAGCTGGGGGTGGATCAGGTGACGGCGACGCCGGAAGCAGCCGGAGTTGGGACTGCAGGATAGTGGAGGTCACGTGGATACAAAGACTGTTAAGAGAGCCGCGGCCGTCACGTCAATACATGGCAGGAGTTCTGTTTGCGAAAGCTGACTATGAAAAATTTTGCGGACAGCTTTTCGCGTTGGTCATTTCACCGGATACATGCATGCGCGCAATGCTCTAGTAAAATTCGGACCATAGGATTGTATATCGGAACGAGGCTGCTAAGAGACTAAAGCCCCGTTCCTTCTACATCATGCAGTCACTACACAAAACCGAATGCTCCAGCCTCATCTAGACATGTTCATGTCCGAGTTCGTCATGCGCACCCATCCAGGCTCACCCCTAAACATCAGGAAGTAAAGCATAGCCCGCCGTGAAGTCTTTCCGCAAACAACCACACAAATAGACGGAGTAGTCCTAGGGAGTGCGTTCGACGGAGCCATGAAGACGGGCGCTGTGCCCTCATTTTCCTGTCCACCGCGTCGGCTTCTGCAATCGTTCGAAAACTCGAGAGGAAAGAACTCGCGTACCAGATGAAGTCGGACCAAAGCTCCACCACACCAAGATCCCAGCAGGGAGGGAAAAGAAAACACAATCATTAGGCGGACGCAAGGCAACAGGCCACCATCCCACGACACCATCTCGGCCCTCACTTCTCTCACCATCCCGACCAGCAACATCTAACGAGCCCACTTGCTGTCCTTCAGGCCCTTGCCTCCGAGCCACGCATGGTGTGCCTGGACGCGCTCGGCCTTGGAGAGAGGGCGGTCGGTCGGTCTCATCCGTGGAGTCAGTCTGTATCTCCATTAGCTGTGTTAATCTTACTGGAAAGAGACGGGACAAACTTACGGAAGCTTGAGCGGCCGACAGACGGTCCATAGCTGTCGCCATCGTGTCCTCCACCAGTCCGTGGAGGAGGCGCTGCGCCGGAGCCGCCACCGCAACAACCAAACCATACCCTTAAGGATGATTGATAGTGCGGTAGTGAGATAGGCCGGAATAAACCGGCGACTAAGCAGCGACAATGCCGCCCGTCCAAAGGTGGCTCGGGGTGATAAGATGGATGATGCTGGACACCCGATGTTTGCGGTGATTGCATGCGCGGAGAGCAGAACGGATCTGAGCCAACAACCTCATGAATGGACGGAAGGTTGTGCATGGAGATTGGGCGGCTGTGCCTGGTCTTATCGTTCAACTTCACACAACGGCCTAGCCAGAATGAGAAAAAGAGGAGAATGAAGAGTCAAGACGGAGCAACCGTTGATCATCGCTGTGGTTGATTGCGTGCGTTGGTGTTCCGTTCGTCGTTCTTCAGCTTGTCCACGTCCAGAAGACTGAGTGGGCCTGCGGCCCCAGCCCCGGTAGCAGCAGATCACCTAGGTTGGATGTGCCTGGTGGACAGGCGAAGAGTGGGCAATATTTAGCCATAATCTCACTGTCGGTTATGTTTAAAATTGCGGGTCTGGTCACCGCAGTTCTGCTACGGGTGGGTATGCGACGAGCCCAGACGAGCTCAAGTTCCATCGCGGTCGCGGCGCTTGTAGCCGCTCGTGCCTCGTTCAAGACGTGACGGCGTGTGTCCGTAACGATTCGTCTCCGATCTTGTCCAGTATATGGTGTACATCCGGAGGGAAAGTGTGCGCGTGACTCTGAGAAGATCTATCAGCGTCCAGTCGAGTGTTCAAAAAGAAGCAGATGAAGATTGCACAAGAGGATGAGGGCGAAATGACTCGCCCGTTCCGGAGTTTTTCGGGAGAGAAGACATCTACCGCAAAAGAAGCTCGCCATACACGCGCGGCGAACTGCTGCTTGGCGGCCATTGAGAAGGGAAGTCGGGACAATGTCTCACTAAAAATCGACGATCACCGTGTCGAGGTAGTAATGCCCAAAGGCGCACTTGTTCTCTGAAAAGGTCCTGCCCACAACGTTGTGGAAGACTGTGCGGCCGTACCAGTCTATGCGACGACGGTTGGGTGCAGGATCTGCACGAGCGAGGGCATCGTGTCTTGTCGAAATTGTCCGTGAACATGACCGTTTAGCGTGAACTCGAGCGTCGCCTCGAGCGTCGCAAAGACCGTGGCTCGAGCCGGTGCAAGATTGGCTTGCGGATTGGTGCTGACAGTCTGAGACATAGAGTCAGCGGAGGAAACAAATCGTGATGGATAGAGGAAAGAGGTACGAACAGCCCAGAAGCGTACATAAGAACTGCATTGAATGGAAGACCTGAAAATTTTGACGGTCAGACTTTGCGTAGAGACGCGATGTTCGCCACCGACAGGATCTACGGTGAGGATAAGTGGCTCCGCCGATTACAGGAAGATCTTGGCTCGCGATGGAGCTAGAGTTAATGAAGAAGAACCAGTCAAAATCGAGACGTAGAGCCGCACTGGCTCGACAGACAATGATGAAGCTGTGTTGAGGTATCGCCGGCAGTAAGAGTTTTATGGGGTGGTTCTGTGCATTGTGCAAGCCGCTAGCAAAGTGGCTTACCTAAGCGAGTCAGGAAACGGCTGCGGTTCACTTCGTTATGCCATCTGACACTCTACAATGCCTAGGGCAGTCGACTGGGAGTGATCTAGTCCAAGAAGTGGATTTAGGCATGGCGGAAATACTACGCCAAGATTCAAGTTGAACGGTATCATCTCTTCACGGTATCGTGTGTATAACTGGTAGCCAAACCCCCCAAAAACGCCGAGTGACTGCAGTCACATTTATCATGACTCTTCCACGTCAGTCCGATACCTTAGAACCTTCGCAAGCTGGACTTCAAGCTGCCGAGTCAGCACAAGACGGCCCGGGCTCCTTGACCTCCGGGCTTTACATTTCCCTACCTGGAAATCAGGATCCCACTCCCTTGCGACCTCCCTAACAACTCTAGCGTCCCATGGTGACAAGTTAAATACCTCCACGCGCCGCCTGATGTCTCTGTGCATAGCTTTGGCGATGGCGATGTTCGCTGCTTCATTGTTGAAGTAAGGACAGCGTTTTTTCTGTTTCTTTGAATGTTTGTGTTGCTGTCTCGTGATTGCGTCCTCCTGCTTGAGCGTCTGGAAGAGAATTAGCAGTTTCCTCGTGTAGTCTTCGAGTTGTTCGATCTTGATCCGAGCGTTATTCAGCAGTGGGCCGGTATCGATGCATGACTTACCGAACAAGTACATGTTTGGCCACGCCACCCTAAAATGGTCCATCCAAGTGATCCATTCTGTGCGGTATGGGTGAGCTTGGCCACCAACAGCGTCCTGGGTATCGAGTACTGACCGAGAGATATATCGGGCAAGCGGATCAGGTCCGCTAAGATCCAAGCGCACGAGCGGCAAAAGGTTGTTGTACTCTGCCTCCAGCTGCAGCCACTCTTTGTACACGGCGTCGTGGCGCTGGTAGAGCTCAACAAACTGAGCGGACTGCCTCTGCTCTCTCTCCCATCTTTGTCGGGCGAGCTCTCGCTCTATCAAGCGCTTCCGTACCTCCTCTTCTGCCGCGCGCTTCTTCTGATACTCTCGCTCTTCCATTGCCCTGAAGGCTCGCTGGGATTGTTCTCGCACCTCGCGAATCCTGTTGGCTTTTTCTTGGCGTTTCCTCGTCGCCTCTTCTTCATCTTCTCGCCTCTGCCGCTCTTCTTTTTCCCGCCTCACCCGCTCTACCTCTTCCCTCTCCCGCGCCTCGCGTTCGCGCTGTTCACGCCCCTCTTCCCAGTACCGCTTGATATTTTCCTGTTCTCTTTGACGCTTTTGCTCCCGCGCCTGCTGCGCTCGCCGATCGCGCTCTGCTTGTTCCTCAGCTTCTCGCCACGCCCGAGCGCTCCTCTCCCGTTCCCTCCTAGCCTGCTCTTGCTGCTGCTGCCGGCGCTGCTGCCCGTAGGACCGATTCTGCCACCAGAAGTTGTCGCCCGCGCGGTGCGAGCCCGCTCGCTGCGCAAAGGGAGACCCAGACCCTTGACGCTGATGCTCTGGCGCCTGCGCTCGTGAGCTGGATGTCTTGCCAAGCGCCTCATCGGTAGCGGTGCGGTTCTCTGGTTTGAGGCTTTCGTAGGCTTCATTGATTTTTTTCATCCGCTCTGTGGCGGCGGCGGTGTCGTCGGGATGCTTGTCTGGGTGGTAAAGGAGGGATTGCTTGCGGTATGCCGCTTTGATCGCGTCATCGTGAGCGTCTTGAGGGACGCCGAGCACCTCGTACGGATTGCTGGAAGCCATCGTTGTTGGATGGAAGAGGGAGGGAGGGAATAGTGGAGGAGTGGACATGTAGTAGATCCGGACGGATAGTGAAAACCGGGGAAGGGTGTACTTTCACCACGCACGTGATCATGGACAATGTTCCGCCCCCCTAGGATGGTGATTCTGGGTGTACCGGCTTTCTTTCCTCACACAGAGGGCTTTGTCCAATTTCAATGTGAATTTAGCAGTCCTGGTTCCAGACGCGGGAGATCGAGCTGGACTTGGTGGTGAGATTGCAGCGGTCATGGTTCAAGACCGAATTCAAACCGTGATGTTTAGTTACAGAACGGGTCTGGCTGATCAATGGAATGCCATATTGTGCACCCGGCGATGCGGTATATCTGACGCCTAGATGATTAGCACCTATCTAGTGCTATTGGGAAAGCGGCACTTGGCCTGTCCTTCATGTTACCAACATAGGCCGTTCAATATCGTTCTGCGAATTATGCGATTACCGTGTAACTGCTGTAACACAAACTGCAGTCAGATTCCAGCTCAATACGTTACGTAGCATGGAACGCAAGCGAATCTCTGTATGTATAGATGCGTTCTATATATAGACTATCAGTACTCTGAGAAGTCAAGCCATCACACTCCATATCCCAGTCTTCATGTACTAGGTTTCTCACCCAAGACAGACTCTACATCGTAATTTTCAATTGGCTAGTTCCCCAGTTTCGGATTCAGCGCTTGATGTTAGAACTCTCCTCTGAAGCAATGCCCTCATTACCCAGGTTGTTCAGCGAGGGTAGCGACACATTCTTATGTAGAACGCCGCTCTACCTCCTTGTGTATCCTTAGAGTCAGCTCGCCTGTGTACTTTTGTTGTTGAATTAGCGACACGTTGGATCACTCCTCTCGCGGTGTTCCCGTCCGCGCTCCCTTAGCTATCGCCTCGTAGGCATCGACAAGTTCCTTGAGCGTGTCTTCTAACTTCTTAGTCATATTCGCCCCGTTGTTGAGCATGTACTTAATCGTCTCATCGTCGATGCTGGCCCAATCGATCATCTGGAATAACGTTCGGGGTTGCTCCAGGCGCTTCCTCCCTTCCTTGCATCGAGGATGGACTGTCGCACCTCCAGACTCTTGCTGTAGCAAGCAGTGCGCGAAGGAAAGGTTGCTGATCTCGTCTTTCCAAACCTCCAGATGAGTGAGCGGCAGGAGGTTGTTGTAGTCGCTCTCGAGCTTCTTGTACTGGGCGTGAACTACATTCAGCTGTTGCTCAAGCAAGCGGTATTGGGCGAGCTGCTTCTCCTTCAGCGAGTGTAGTTGGTCCCGTCTGCGAAAGTTCTTTTGGGCCTCTCGGAAGTACTCCTTCGCCTCGAATGGCTTCGTGTTTTGCGGGTATTGTCCCCCAGTCATCCGGATCGTAGCGTTAGTGGCTTCCCGATTCTCCGGTTTGAGCTTTTCAACGGCCTTGTTGATCTCTTTCATCCTCTCGGTGGCAGTAGCTACGTCTTCCGGTCGTTTTACCTCATCGGGATGGTGCTGAAGCGATGATTTGCGGTAGGCGATCTTGATCGCCTCACCGGACACGTCTTGCGATACGCCGAGAATTTGGTAGGGGTTTGCATTGGACAGTGTAACTGCAGGAGACTGAGTCTGAGCTTGAGAGTTGAAATGTTTGAGAGATCCGAGTTTGTCGTGAGACTTGGAAGTTTGGAAGTTTTGGAAGTTCTGACGGGTCGAGGCAGTTTTCTGCCGCGTTACGATTGTAAGTGCCCGTCCTATACATGTGAAAACTGCCTTTCACGTGGGGTCCGGGATGATGCACACATTTTTTTCATGGGTTACCCACTTGAACAGTCTCCGGTATGAAAGACGATGCACGACAATGTGCTGCCGTTTTCACGCGTGTTAGTCTTGGATTGATCGCTTGAAGATTTCATGTCGTGACTGCAACCACGCTACGAAAGTGATATATTGCTGATGACAAGATGAGTTCCTAAATGCTACCTGAATGTCAAGCGCCAACTGACTGCTCCATACACCTGAAGAACACGCCCAGTTGCATCCCTTGTAGCCCTCTGGACCTCTGCAAGGCCTTCAACCGTCGGATGACTGGCTCCTTGTCAAAGCGGCGCATACGTGTCCTCCGGCCCGGTCTTCTCACAACTGTCGTTTACGTCCTCCACAGGGTAGGTACTTGACCGGCCACTCCCTCGCCACTTCTTTGACTGCCCGATACTTCTTCTCGCCCGAGGCACCACCATCAGCTTCGAGCCGCTGGTCAATCGCCCTACGCATTTCCTTGGCAATCCCGATGTTCTTTCCTTCAGTGACAAAGATGCGGCACTCAGGGTCACATTGCTCGTGCTTAGCCCTTGCAGCCTCGTCTTCCTTCTTCAGTGTTTCTAAAACTGGCATCATGTACCGAAGATCACGTTCACAACCCTGAGTTTCAACCGTAATACTGCCGAGTGACTGTCCCACTTCGCTCTTGTGTAGGTCTGGGTCTGAGCGGATATCATGCATGCTCCTCCGTGCTTGCTGGAAGCGCTGGACCCACTCTCGTGTAGGGGTTGCTTCTTGTTGATTTCGAACTGATCGTCCAGCGTCGAGCGCAAGGAGTGCCTGGCGTACGACTTCGGTGACCGACTCTTCAGGCGAGCAGGCAGTAGGAATCTGGTATACAATATTTACGGCATCATGAACCTTCGACGTAGTTCTGCGTGGCGGTTCTCCAGGTCGCTCAGCTGGCGTAGCTGCCGTTCTTCCGTCAGACGGGAGAGCCGCTGTTCCTCGGTCTCAGACTAATAGGCCTTGTCATGGGTCTGGCGACGCGCGTGACGAAAAGCCTCCTGGTTTGCTTCCCACTTCTGGTAGATCTGCTCACGTGATGGTTGTGTACGAGACTGTTGGTTCCGTCGAGCGCGTTCGAAGCAGTCCTCGGAGTCGATAGGGCTCGGTATGGCTTGCCGATTCTGTGGTTTCAACCTATCATATGCTTCATTAAGCTTCTTTGTCCTCTCGATCGCCTTGATCTTGTCTTCAGCACTTACTTTGTCGGGATGGTGCTTTCGAGAGAGCTTGAGGTAGGTGGACCTGATCTCCGCGTCGGTAGCCCGCTTCGATATGCCGAGGATGGAGTACGGGTCCATGATGGTGATACTGGCCATTTGGATGGTGTTCCGTGACGGAAGTTGGACAGGGTGGTTTATTAGTTCGCTAACAATATCTGACCGTGGCGGAAGTCTTGTTGCGTTGGATGGATGGGTGTAGTGGCGGGTTAGGCGCGCTTATATGTTTAGTACTGCTGGAAATATACAGAGCCATGATCGTGTCACCAGAGGGCTGACGGTGAAATTAAGACTTTTGTGATTTTTGGGCTCTTAGAGCATTGGGGAGGGTATGCTACATCTGTGAAAAAGCCGAGCTTGTGAGGGTGGACGTCTGAGACACAATCGGCATCAACGGCAAGTGAGATAGAGGTGAGTGTTTCGGATAAGTCACCATTCTTTGTCTATCTTGCCCTTCATAACTAATCATGGGTCTCTCGCATGTTTGTACCAGAGGCCGCTGACTTTAATAAAGTGTTATCGTCTCTTTCATGGGATGCGCTTTCGGAAGGGAGATCCAGATCATCCACGTTTACACCTAAGCCAGAATGTCCTGAGGAACGACGGTGGTGAGGAGGCGGAAGTGGGTATGGCACTAGACCTGGGCCGCAAGCTTAGTATTAGCGCGACTGAGGTGTGGTCAAGGTCGGGGTCGTGACGTGAGGTTTGATGTGGTTTGTAGGGGTGACGAGGTAAGTGGAGCTGGAGCTGGATGCTTGGAGACACGCAGGCAGCTGGCAATACCGAGCGGTTGATTGATCACGGTCTGCTGCAGGCTATACAGGTGGAACGTATAGGTCTTCAATTAGTCAATGAGGAACACACAGAGAAGCGAATTCTAGTAGCACATGTTGAGAGTACATTGGGGATGCGAGGGCTGCGATCATAGATCTTGACTCAAGAATTCTATATATGTTTTACAAGCAAAATCAGCTTCAAATGCTAGCTTCCTCAATCATCTGCTGACTGTCCTATGCTCACGAGAAGCCAGCCCAATTGCATGCCCTGTGATCCGTCGCGCGTTTGAACCTTTGATACCAGAACATGGAGAGGTCCACAAGAAACCACTCCGGCACCTCGCCGGTAGGATAGTTGAGTGCGTGACATACGGAAGCGTGCATCTCTTTTGCCAAGGCGATGTTATCGGCTTGGTTGCGGAAGTAGTCGCAACCGCCGTTGCAGCCTTGATGGTATTCCCTTATCCCTCTATCCTCGGCGAGCAGAGCCTCTACCGTTGTGTGGAGCGCTGCGACTTCGCGCTCCAGTTCTTCAATCTTGGTCTTCAGTTCCTCGATGAGGGTAGCGGTTTCCATGTTGAACATCGCACAAGAACGGATGTTGGTCACTTGGTGACTGACTTGGTTGATGCGCTTTGTCCATGCTGAACGGAGAGGGTGCTCGTACTGGGGATCATGTTGGTCATCGAGAAGCGAGCGTGCAGTATATCTTGCGAGAGGGTCGGTTCCGTAGATGCACAGACGCGTGAGCGGCAGTAAGGTGCGATATTGAGCTATCCGCTGCTTCAGACTGTTGACAATGGCTTGATGTCGTCCGTCCAAACCGCGACATTGTGCCCACGCCTGCTCCCTTGCCTCTTCGTTGCGCTTCCTAGCTTCGTAGACGCCTCGCCAGTAGTCCTCGGCCTGGCGTTCGATGTTCTCCTTGTTCTGGTCGTCTGCTTGCTGGCGCTCATCCCTGCGCTCTTTTTGGCGCTGCTCCCACCGTTGGCGGATGCGCTCCTGTTGATCGTGTTGTTCTCTTTCTTGCTTGTCTTTTTGGGCCTTCTGGTGGTGATCCTGGCCGTCCCACTGGTTGCCACCGTGCGTCTGCTTGTGTCGATTAGCACTCCACTTCATGTAGTCATCCCATCGCCGTTGGTCTCTTGCCTTCTGCTCTCGCTGCTCACGGCGAGCTCGCTCCGGATCTTCTCGCCAGTATTGCTCATTCGCAGTCTGTCAGCTCTTCGGCTTCGACCAGTCCGGTGTTTCCTGCGGGGTCGTTCTCTGCGCTGGAGCTGCTGCAGCTGCGACTTTCTTGATCTTCTCGTCTGTGGCTTTCCGATTCTCCGGCTTGAGCTTGTGGTACGCAGCGTTGATCTGCTTCATACGCTCTGTAGCTGCGGCTACATCTTCCGGTTTCGCCTTGTCGGGGTGATACTTTAGCGATAGCTTCTTGTACGAAGATCGAATCTCCGCATCGGTGACATGCTGCGATATGCCGAAAACGTAGTACGGATTCTGGCTGAGATTCGACATGGTGGGTGGCTTGAGATCACGATCGGGTCTTGATTTGGATGTTTGAAGATGGAGAGCGGATTGAAGGCGTTTACGCTCTTGAAATCGAACCGAGATGAGAGTGGGAATCGTGCTTTTGTATGCTTGCTATCACACTTTCACCAAAGCTGCTAAGTGTAATAGTATGACAGCCCTCAGACGTTCACGACCGATCAAAGCAAGATAAATTCACTAAACAGTATGTGAGAAGATCTTCATCCGTCTCTTAGAGCTTTTGTTGTTGCCGATGCCCAACAGAGCTTAGTAATATGCTCTGGACTGCCTGACGTATATCCACTCGCGGGTGTCTCCACATCAGATTTTACATCCTATGATTATAATTTGAGTCGCTTGCCCGTCCGTTCTGTTCCGCAAAACCTCTTCAGCACTTACCGCTTCTGGTTCGTGATGTTGAATCAATCAGCACAGGATGCTCTGGACAATGAGTGGTACCAGAAGGAAAGAAGGGAAACCATCACATTATCATGCACAGCACTGCTAACAATGCCCTTGTATTTCAACAACCCGGAGACTGTCCATTCACGCTCACAACCTTCTTCCAGTAGTATATTACCTCGGACGGCCACGGCCAACTTTCAGCCCTCAGGTCGAACTTTCACAGCTGAAGCTAGAGTTTCACGCCGGTCGTAAAAACATGCCTTTCGCCTCGTTGCTGGAAGTTCCATCTCAACAAATTCTCGGATCACTGTTGCAACCAAGCCTGCGACGCTCCACATCCACCGCATCCACCACCGCCATGCCCGGCTCTCCAGTAAGTACCCGCGCCCCCGAGCCGAACACTAGTGCTCTCAGATACTTCCTCGCTCACGACCTGAAGACCGTCCAGATCCTCAACCTCGACAAGGACGAGCGCAGCTGCTGCATTTGCACTGATGCCTACGGCGACGAAAAACCGGTCCAGCTTCCCTGTGGTCACATCATCGGCGCGAATTGTATCCGTGCCTGGCTCTCTGTCAAGGGGCGCAAGAATAAGTGTCCGGTATGCAGGTACATGCTTTTCCCCCTGGAGGAGGAAGTATGGGAAACCGACGAAGTCAACGAGACGAGCCCCGAACGCCATCCTTTCTGGGCTGCGCCACCGAGCAGCTATCCAGATAATGCGGCGCTCGAAGGTAGGGTATACCCGGAGACGGAATGGAACTGGATCACAGAAGTTATCCATGTTCGCGTTGACGCGGCAGCGATGAGTGCTACGCTAGACCGACTCTCTGAGGCAGCTGGCTTGAGACAGGGTGTCGCTGACTTCAGCAATAAACAGACGTACGAGATCATGGCCGCCCGCGAGGCTTTTCGAGACCATCTGCAATCCTTGGACGGGATATCCGTCCCCATTGGGCGTTTGCACGAGGTGCTCTACAAAGAAGCGCGAAGGGCTATGAAGTACACAAGAAGATCTGGATTCTCGGAGAGGCTGAGCAGTAAATTCAGGAAGGTGAAGGGCGGGACCTTTAATTTTCCGGATGGGCCGTACGGGTTCTTGAAACTGATGCTTAGGAGAATCATTAATATTCAGCGCGTCGCTGCTGCGCAGGTCGCGCATCAATGAGGTGCTGGTTCGGGGAGGCTATCTGGATTCCTTCGCTCTCGCGTAATATTTGCTGTTGGGTAGGAATAAAAAGGTGTTGAAGACCTCGTATTGTGTTTCATGTCTGCTGATGGATCAAGTGTGACAGGTTATGATATGAATTTAAGCCCTGCATTACTGAAATATTTTACACAGTATCCACGCCTTCAGGTTCTGCGTCACATTTCCTGTGTGGAGTCATCAAGACAGGCCGGCTGGTCAGCTGCCTCTTCGCTCGCTCCCGATCAGCATATTGTGAATGACAATGTGCTGTTTTGGTCAAGCTGTACCAACAAACTCTTTGTCTTCTACTTCAATGGTCCTTGTTCCCCATCTGCACAATCGCATTGTCTCACCATACTACACCAAATTCGTCAAAGGAACACTTTACATATAAGCGCAGAGGCACTCAGTATTCATTCCCCATCGTGTCGCATTCCTTTGGAAAACTTCCAGAGTTACACGGTCACCAAACAACTTCCACTACCAACGTGCAGGTCACACACGGTAGCATTACCACATCCAGCAGATCAAACCTACTGACACGTTTTTACAGATCCACTCTCACTCCTCAAGTTATCACAATGGCACCGGTTGCCATCAAAGCGCCGCCAGGAAGCTCTGGCACCAACACCGCCCTCTACGTCGGCCTCGTCATCGGCGCCTTCGTGTTGTTTTTCCTCTTGATTTGGACACTGAAGAAATGTTTTCCTACGAAGACAAATCCGAACTCGCATTTGGGTAGTGATGGAAGGCCGTTAAGACACGGAGAGCACCTGCATGGTGGACATCATCGCGATTATGCGAGGAGAAGTCCGGGAAGGGCGCACTATGGGCATCGGCACAGGCGCTGATAAAAGTCGACAGAGCCGCAAAAATGGTTTGCGTATAGAGGATAGATAGAGGCGTACTCACAGTTCCATGAGTAAGCCTTGACAATAGAATGAGCCAATTCGGTTTGCACCAGAGTTCTGTTTGTATACAATGTGACATCAACGATGGGCTGTGACTTGCGGTATCCTTTGCAGCCGCTCCAACTTCTGCAACGGTCAGCGCAGCTTTCACAGCTCTGCACTGAAAGTTCGGCGTGATTTCGTGGACAGACAACTCGGGATTGCTCGGGAGAGGTTGCAGAGATGAAGTTGAAACAAAGCCCCTGTCACCGTGCAAGGATTGTTGCAGGGGGTTGCCCCCAGCCTCATGCGAGAACACCACACCACAGCCAGACCTCCATCTCAGAACTTATCTTGCCACTTCAATCGACAAGCGCTCCGAACTATTGAGGACAAACCAACACGTGTTCCATCAATGATCGGGTACAACGTGCATTGAGCTCGTGATGGGCGGCTTTGTACCTCGCGCTCCCACAAAGCCACAGTGCACATTGCGGTTACCCGATGTATACCTCAATAGCATTCTCCACGCCAATATTCCTGGTGCTGGGTGCGCTACATAAGTCCACTCGAACTCCTTCCTCAATTCTTACATACCAAAGTCATCAATCCCAACCAAACACACTCGTTTAGTCCCTTCAGACTTACAAAACCCCTATACCAAGAACATGCACACCACATCCATCGCCCTCGCCATCATCGGCGCCCTCACCATCTCCACCACCGCTGCGCCAGTCGCTTCGCCTGAGGCAGCGCCCGTGTCGGACCGCCTCTATTGGAAGAGCACGAAGAAGCCGGTGTGGTGCTACGACGGCAATATCCAAGGACACTATATCTGTAAGTCTCGTTGATTTCTAGCGGTTGTGACAATGCTGACTGTGGTGTAGGCGGTTACAAGAACAAGGGCGGTTGAAGTGTCTGAGGAGTGAGACGATAGGCGCAAGGTGATCGAAGAGTCGTAACGTCCGGTTGCCGTATTGTCGTCTTGCTGTGTTTTCGCTGCCCTCTTCGCTTGGAGTTGTACGACAAGTGGTCAGTTTGCATCGCGAGGTTCATGGTCGAGCATCTTGCATACATGTTAGCTTTCAGATCTCTCCTCACCGTTTGATACATCGCCATAGTTTCGTGCTGTTGAACCTCGTGCCGATTTCCACTCCAGGTATGCCTGCTCGTGCTTTTGTATCATGAAGTGATTGATATCTGTCTTCGGCCATACGACTGGTGTGTTGGACAATGATTACGTTGGGCCTGTTAACCTTCCTAAGAATGTTAGCATGCACCGCCGGCTATGGATTGGAGATGCTTCTTCTTTTTCTCTTGTACGGTTGTATGCAGACCGTTGTGGGGCTTCAAAGGCCGCCTACTATATCAAGTTCCATAAGGAGAGGACTGCAGCTCGGTTGATCTACAAGCATGGACCATCAGGGACTGGCAGAGTGTTCTCTGGGCTTCCATGAGATCAAGGTGATGCAAATGGTGCAAACACAGTTCCAGCTCGCTTGGCAAATTAGCGCCCCTCAGGCAGCACATAAACAAGCATGTTTCCGCCTCCAAACCCTTCTAGCATAGCGCTAAAACAGTAAGCACTCTCCACCCCTGCCCTTAACAAGAGCTCTGCTGACAACCATGCAGTACTGGTCGGGATCAACCGTGATCAAGAAGACGGTTGATCGAGTCGTCTGCCCTGCATTGCACAGCGTGGCGGTGGGCGGCTAGGGCTCCATTTCGAAGGAGACCTCCGGCATAATTTTTGCTGGCTACCACACACATACTCTTTTCATTGATGCTTCTGCCTTGTGCAGGACGTTGAAGAAGAGGTTCGATCTTGCTGTAGCGATACGTGAAGTAGCCGCTTAGTCGATGTTGCTGTCTCTCATGGTGGTGAACTCTTTTGTAACTCGTCTTTCACTCTATTTGTGTCCGCTGCCGCTACTTCACCAATTTTTTTGACGCCCAAACTCTGCCCTTCCAAACCTTCCTCAATCTCTCACCCCAGATCTTACCTCTTTACACGCTCAAGATGCATCTCGAATCCTTCATCACCAGCATCTTGAGCTCCTCGACCAGCACTCCAGCCGCCACCAATCCCGCTGCTCACCGGACGATAGATCCTCCCAGCAGCCGTCTCACTACCACGCATTCACTGACGCCTTTTCTCTCTTCCGAGATCAAAGCGCGCCGCCCGCCTTACGAAGCCCCCAAAGCCCTTAAACGCCAGCTTTGGACGCCTCTCCTCCCTACCCTCGATAGATTCAAGTCTCCCTCCCCGTCCAGCGCTCTCGCGCAACAGCACCGGCAGCTCGACTTCCTCATGCAGGCTGCGAAACCGCGTCCGCGCCTCTCAGCTTTCGAACCGCTACAAGACGTGATCCTGCGGCACCTGCTCGCTCCCAGCACCCTCCCACGCCTCCAGCAGCTCCCAGGCCCCCGATCTCGGCCCTTCCAACTCGTTATTAAGAGCAGCAGGATCCTGGGCCGCGAATGGCGCCGCCTCAAGCGCGCGTTCAAGCGCACGCTCATACGGATGCTTATCTGGATGGGAGTCCCCGAGGTCATCATGGTCGTGGAGTTGAGGGTTGAGATGGATGTTCCGATTCTGCCTTGGATTGTGTAAGTTTCCCTGTTCTGCGAGCTGGAGATGGAGAGAACTTGCTGACGGTGGTGCTGGGGACAGCAGGTGGGAATTTATCCTCCCGGCTAGGATCTGGTTCTTCTTTCTGGCTATGGCTGGGGAGGGTGCTGAGGCTGGAGGGTTGGTGTGGGTTTGGTGAAGGGGGATTTGAGTGGGATCGAGCAGGGTAGAGCATCGTCGTTCACCTACACGAGGTGGCTCTCTTGGTGATACGAGCATGAAAATAGGGAGTCCGATACTTTCGCAGTCCCAGGATATTGCTGGTTTCCAGGCTTGCAGAGAGTGGAGCGTTGGGAAAGCGTTCAGGGATGTCATGAGACTGGATCTTAATGTCTCAAAATGTTTCGAGCGTTTAAAATGCGCTGTTGCGGAGCTTCCAAAATGCACATGGTGCGAAAACACTTCTCCAAAAGCCGTTGCATGACGAATCGGTTGTCGAGATAGCATCAAGAACTTCATATTCTTGGACGGGAACACCAAGAACACCACAATACTCTCAGAAACACTTCGAAACGGGTCTCGAGGTCCAGGGACATTGAAGGAACATCAGAAGTTGAGCGAATGGCCGAAAACCAAGTGCAAAACCACCGCAGCTACACAGAACACCATCTGCACAAGCAGTGAACCCACAGGGCGAGCAGAAGGATGACCACGCAGTCCCCTTTAGGCAGTCAAGTAAGGCCACCGTAGAACGCTGCATCGGGATCGGGCAGCAGCGCCACTGCTAATCCATAAGTCATGAAACATCGATCTCCACGTGCCGGGGTCAACCAAAGGACCATCCGCAGAGGAGGACAGCCAATCGGAGCGTTCAGATGATATGTGAATGCTGCTTTGGGGCGGTAGAGAGGGATCGTAGAACGCCGCGTTTGAGTCAGGTAGCAATGCGTGCGGCTAATGAGAGTCATGAACCGTCACCAGGACGCAATGGCCGTCGGGCAGCTGAAGCTGGTGACCGAAAAGGGCGTGGCCGAGCTTGAAAGAGAGCTCAAACAGGTAATCAAGCAGTCCAGCATTGAACGACGCATCTGAGTCAGGTAGCAATGCCTTCAATGCCGTATCTTATACCAGATCACACTGGAGCCCGCCTACCACCGTGACTCGCCACCAAGGCCGCAAGATTTGAACCGACAGGATCATCATAGGCGGGCTCCAACATCGCTTCAGGCAATTCAGAAGGGAATCGTAGAACATCGCGTATGACTCGGGCATCAATGACTTGGGCGTCATATCTTGCACAAGATCATGTGAAAGCCCGCCTCCGCCGCCCACCGTCGTCGGTGCAGCAGGATTTGAGCCAATAGGATCATTAGAGGCAAGCCGCTGAGCTGCTTCAAGAAGTCCAAAAGGAATCGTAGAACATCGCGTATGACTCGGGCAGCAACTCCGGCAGCAAGGCTGAGTGAAATGCAAGTCATGCTGGACCTGAGGCGCGATACGGCTCCGAGGCCCCGGCCAATGGGAACATTGGCAACCAGCTTTACTCTCTGCTTTCGGCAGGACGGCGAGGCATCGTAGAACGTCGCATATGATTCATAACTCGTCGGGCAGCGACGCCAGAGATTGTCGAATTGCGCTGCGGAGTGACGCAACTTCGGTGCGGCTATCTGCCCAGCCATCTGAGCACAACTCAGCCCCATGTGAGCTCACAAGCAGCGCAGCACTCTTAGTATCTTATCCTTGCAAGTCAATGAAGCCGTTGCATAGCGTCTTCAGCCGGTCGAATGCAGCAATGGATGTTTGAATACTGTGAAGTCGTGCAAACCATCCAAAAGTGAGTGCAAGCTCCCCGACGTCAAACACATCACACTTCTTTGCAAGATCCAGATCCCACGGCCCAGTACGAGTCATCAGCAGTCTTGCACGCATGCAGACGACTGCTCGTTCTGGCAATCAAGCCGGACTGCGTAGAACGACAGCAAAAGAGTGGGTCCTGCCCCGTGCCCTCACGAGAAACAAATGCGGAGCGCGCCGGAGGCTGGGCAACCAATAGGACCATCACATGCAGCATCAGCGCCGCTTCCTGAGGTCTCTCAGGGCTGTCAACTGCCACTTTGGGACTTCTGGCCTTTACCGTAGAACGTCGCGGACGTGTAGCGTGTACGCGACGCGATTTGGACGCTTGGATCCGGTCTTCCAGCTTCAGGTATTGATTCGGGACTTGGGAATCAGGAAGTGCAATTTGATGCTCAACATGATGAGTGATACCCAAACAGATACTCAGTACTCTGCAGAAGAGATTCTGAGCCCTTGTGCTGTGCCGACGTCACAATGGGTCATTCTCGTCCGTGCGTCGAAGTCTGATATGTTCGGTCCTTCTGAAGTTTCTCTTCTCTCCACCATACACCCTTCCAGCTTGCAGCACCACCACCAATCGTTTACTCAAACCATCTTTAAGTGCACAAGCTTCTTTCGATCAGGATGCCAGCCGTTGAGTGGATCATCGGCGGGTCTTCCTCCTCCTGCTTTGTTGGCGCAGCTGCCGCCGCTGCTCCGTAAGATCTTTCACCAAGTTCAGAAAAGATCCAAATCTCTGACGCAGTCTCCCTTGACCTCTAGCCCCTCTCACGACAGCATGGTTGTTGGCTCCGCCTCCTCGTGAGTTCTCTTCGCCATTGGTATGAGATGAGACACATGCTGACTCGACTTCAGCATTTCTGTCGTCGCCCGCGTCGCCCGAGACGACCACGCCTCGACCGCATTCGGGTAAGCTCAGTTCAAGCCTGATGCTAGGCTCTCTATCCATTCATCACGAAGATATCACAGCCTCAAAAGGAGATCGAGACTTCCTGGGCTCACATCCCTGAATGCAAAACCTCGGCGCCAACTCATTCCTGAGGTTTAGAAGCTGACTTTGTGTTCACCCAGCTCCGACACCAGCATGGACGACGATGTCGTCCTGCCGAGCGAAGGATTCGTTGCCGTGGAGGGGCCAGCGAAGATCGCCGACTTGCCGGCACACCCGTAAGTTCATCTCTTTGCCAGAAGCATGAAGCTCTACGGCCTCGCAAGACAGCATGGATGGGAGCCAGCGACAGGATCACAAAGCTCCTGGGGAGTCGAGTTCACAATCCCGATGGCTGCTCCTTCAAAAGCACAGAGCCTTTTTGCGTTTCATTTGCGCTGGGCTTCAGTTCTCGTTCAAACCGTCGAACTCTCCTCCGTCTCACCACCCCCTCTCCCACATCCATCCACCAGATCGCTGACATCCCTTCGACACAGTCACCTCACACTCCACAACCTCCTCCTTCTGCGCGGCGCACACGACGGCTATGTCGTCTGTGGTCGCTACCGGATCGAGCAGTGGTTGGACGGTATATTGGACTGACCGGGCAGTGCATATATACTGTTTCTTGCGGCCGATGATGCAGTGGTGCTGCGGAGGCACCCCTGAGGGAGCTCGCACCGTGACGTGGTTCAGGGGCTTGAACAGCTGTAAGGCTGTGACCAAGACGAGCTCGGAGGTGAGTGAGGTATGGACAGGTGTTCATGGACGTCGCGATTGGCTTGAATGGTGGTGATACGTTATCATGAGACAAGGAATAAACTGGTGGAGGGCAAATAAGTGTACAATGCGGTTATTGTTTGGGACTTCGCAGCATTGAGATTTTTAGGAGAGAGTGTCGATTTCCTCTTCTCTTGCTGGTGGCACAATAAGATCGGCTCTGTCGAGTCGTGTTCCTCGAGCCTGTTGCGCTGCGTAAAATCAAACGCGTCCACTCCGACTGAGATCCTCGTGCTCCATGTCCCATGATCAACTGGTGATGAGTGAGGATATCAGAGTTGGTGGCTCAGAGGTGACGCGTGGCTCGTTCTACTGAGCCAAAAGAGGCGCGATCTGACCCGAAACGTCTCTTCCATTCACTGATGCCGCAAAAGCAAGATCCTCAAGTCCCAGAATGGAAGATTTGATAGCCTCCTTGAACAGTGTGAAAATCTGCAAAAGAGAAAGCGTAATGGACGTCCCGGGAATCGAACCACGGTCCTTGGAGCCCCGGCAGACGCCCAGCACCAGGCCGGACGCCCTCTAAGCCCAGGTTTTCCACATGCAGCCATCACACCCCACGCCCCATCGTTACTTGCATGGGTTTAGAGGTCAACTTTGCGTTTAATATAGACACGAAAAACTTTCGGCGGGTTCTATGCGGTCATGCCATCCGCGCGAGGATGCAAGGCTGCCACATCCGTTTCGTCTTTTCTCTCAGGCCACTTTTTTGACAAGCGCGCACAACTTCCTCAACGTCAACAACTACACAATCGACAGTCACCACGAAGCTCAGCCTCACAGCCATACGCCTCCCCTATCACAATCGAGCGCCATCACCAACCTCATGGCAAGCTACGACCCCTACAACCGCGCCGCGATGGACCTCTTCGAAGCGCAGCAGCTCGAGGCCAGCAGCAGCAACAGCAACAGTAAGCAAGCTTCGCCAGCCACACAGAGGGATTTTGGGTCACGATTCGTGATGCTGACACTCTTCCTCAAGCAGTCAAAACCTTTCAAGCCTCGAGCCAGGAGCCGAAAAGCGAGGGTCGAGAGATGGTCACAACAAGGGAGAGGAGGGCGTCGAGGGCGCTCTATGTTTGCCCTGGGAAAAGGGAGCAGTCATTGGCTTGAGAGGGGAGGGGAGAGGGCGCGGTGGAGGAGGGGGTTTGGCTTGGTAGTCTTCTCGCTTTGATGTTTTTGAAGCTGTAGATGGAGGAAGAGAATTGAATTGCTGTTTCGATGGGTTTGAGAGCTGATGATATGGTTCTCTTCCGGCTGTGACTCTTCGACAATGGATTCAGCGATGTTTCTATTCCCTTCTCACAATCCCTTATGCTGTTGACCAAGAGTTGGAAAAGCTTGTCCGATCTGCGGATATGGCATGTTCACATCTCCAGAAAGAGTACCAAGGCTTGACAGTGCCAGCTCCCGGTTCACACCCTCGACTCCATGGGGATGGATCAATTCCTTTGGTTTGTGAGACAGTCCAACTTTGAACGTTTACATTGAGGCTTTGAAGGAGGCGGTAGCGGATCTCAAAAACTCTCATGCCCCTGACGTGGAGACTGTTTCAGGGCACCACTCCACATAAGCTCAGCTGCTGAACTTGGGATAGACAATGCCATGGCAGGGCAGACAGGGCTTCTGCTTGCCGTCTCCGAATTCGCAGTCGACGCCTTCGTTTACGCAGGCTTCACAGCCTATCGTTGGTTGAGGTGTTGCCTTTGCTTTATTCTTGCTGGTGCCGCTTACTCCTTGCTGGGCGTTCCCCTTAACTGGCGTATGTACCGTTTTCTGGTTTACGCTGGCCGCCACCGTTTGTTTCGGGATCGGCAGGTCTCATTCTGCCGTCTAGGTCGCGGGAGTTACGTACTATAGTACGTCGTCGGCTTCCTCGTCTATGAATCTCTCTAGCGCGATTCGCCGTCTGGTGGGTACTACCGCCTGGCTTCTTGATAGGGTAGAACCTCTGTCCATTCTGCGTCCGGGTTCCCTGTCACGAAGTACCTAAGTGCGATCTCGACAGTCTAGTTCGTCCGTTCTAATTAACCGTCGGTTTGTGGGTGATACGCGGTTGCGGTGAGGAGCTTCGTTCTAAGCCGTGAGAAGATCTCTTTCTAGAAGTTGGATAGGATTCTCCGGTCCCGGTCGCTGATAAACTGTTGGGGTATACCCCAGTCGTGGCTTAACAGCGCTTCGAGCTATAACTTCGCCCACTACTTTACTGAGTATATTTCCTATCCCGGCACTAGAATGATTCGCTTCGTATACTTATCCGTTGTTGCAAGCAGCATATCTAGTCCGTCTTTCGTTGCGGGAAGTTTGACGATGAAGTCTGAGGCCACTATATGGAATGGTATATTTGGGCTCGTAATCGGTTGGAGTTCGCCGTATGGCTGATGGCGGTGTAGAAGTTCCTGCAATCCATCTTCGAGGTCGGTAAATTCACAGTCGAGAAACTGTGAAGATATGCTGCTTTCTCCTAGGATCTGATAACAGGTGACGGTATCTCCGGACAGTGAATTCGTAGCGCACAGACCCCCTCCGCCTATATTGATTTCCGCCCACCGTCCCTCCATCTTTTCGGCCACATCATCACCGTCAACAGCAACAACAACAACCATATCACGGTATGTGAGCTGAATCAAGGCACAACGAACATCTCAATGTTCTCAACGTTGTCCAACTTTTCTGGAGAAGATCGCGGGAGATTTGACTGACTTTTTCTCAAGAACAGCTTCTTCTCTCCAAAAACCGTAAGCAACCACTGTATCCTCTTCTCTCGCTCCAGTCTCATTTTGTAGAAGCACAACCAGCATCATGGATTTCTACGAGCGCAAGATCTCCATCACCGACGACCTCCTCGCCGACGACACCATCCGCGTCAAGCCCCCCCTCCGCCGCGCCGAATCTCTCCCCAACATCCGGCTATGCCAACCCACGAGGTGGGTTCCACCATCAGGTCGAACTCCCGTGGAGGGCGCGGAGCCGCCAGCGGCCAGGAACTCCTGGTTCAAAATCACCATCAATCACCTCCGCTCAATTCTCGAGACGCCTAGCTGGCCTGGCAAGCCAAAGATCCTCGCGAAGCAAGAGGTATGTTCACTCTATGCTCAGATGAGAACACCGATGCTGACAGCTTCTAGATGGCGCAGAACTATCGTCGGCGGCCTCCAATGTTGAGGGTAGAGGAGAGGGTATGGCCTCCAGCCCTTCATGCTGACGTATCTCCGCTAACAGTTCCCAGATCGCTAAAGCCATGCGATTCCTTGAGGAAGAAGATCTTGCTGCTCGCACGGCTTGAAAGCTTTTCAAGATGACGGCAGGATTTCTTTTGTACTTTGGGCACGGGATAGACTTACTCTGCGAGCATAGCGATAGCTCGCTTCTTCACTGGATTGAGTACGCGTCTCCTGCGAACAAATTGGGCCGTTGCTGACTACGTCTAGTTGCTTTGCGGGCCGCGCGTTGCGGCAAAACATCGCTTTCACTCTTCATGCACCTGTGACCCACAACCGCGACTGACCCGCCAGAACTTATATATCTTCACACATCACAACAACAACCACAGATCTACGCAATCATCACTACGAGCGATACGTCGCTCACGAAGGTAACCAGCATTCTCTTTCCTTCATTCATCGCATAGCTTTGTTCGATTTTCGAACACCGGCAGAGAGAGTGAGCTTAGCTTGACTGTAGCTTTGCTCACTGCTCCATACCTCCCGCTCGACGGGGGAAGACAGAGGCCCCACGATATGGTCTCTGACCGGTCGTGGGAAAAGAGATCCAGCGACCTGCCGAACATTAGGATAGAATGCGTACTACAGTGCAGACCAGGACCGCTCGCATCCACGCGGTGTCTCCTTTCTCACTTGCGCAAACATTCTTTCACCTGCTTATGAAGTGCTGGCCGCTCTCTACATCACTGCTGACCATGGGAGCAGACCGGAGCGGTTCCACTGAGCTCCCAGCTCACACAATGACCTTCACAATGAAATCAGGTAAGTTCTTTCTTTGTCTTCCTCGCCATCCTTCACACCACGATTCGGCATTCGACCAGTAGAGCTTAGCTCGAGTTGACGCTCTGCTCACTGGATCGATCACCAAGTTGTCCGAGACAGAAGAGACAGCCGAAGATTAAGATGCGTACTACAGTGCAGACTAGGACCGTTCGTATTACATTCACGCGGTGTCTCCTTGCTCACTTGCGCAGACATTTCCTTCTATCAGGCATGCTCTTTGCGCACGGCGCTGATGGTTGACAGATACCAGCCGGCAGCAGGCATCGGTCCACTCACCACCGCGCATTGTTGCAAGCGATTGCGGGCCATCAAGTATGTACCATCTTCTTCACTCATGTTCTTCTGTGAGTTGTGGCATTTGCTGACTTTGTCGACAGAAGCGACAGAGCATCGCCGCCGCACTGCAATAGGTGAGCAGCCTTGCTTCCTTCCTCATCCTCCCTCGAGAAAATTTCTCTGCATGCATGAACCGGCATAAACCAGTTGGGCTTAGCTCGAGTGCCGCTCTGCTCACTGGTCATGTTCGACAACCGACACCCCGACAGAGACAGAGGACAAAACCCGAATGCCGAAGATTAGGTTATGATGCGTAGCAAAGAGTGGGCCGTTCGTTCTCCACGCGGTCGCACGCTAACTGCGCAAACATAGCTGCCACTGACAGCCGCTTTCCTTTTTGACAAAATGCCAGTGTCGGTAATTGGTGACAGGTTTGGCGAGCGGCGTTGTTGTTCACGTTCGAAGCTGGTAAGATCTCTCTTCATCTCTCATCATGGCTCTTTGAATATCATGCCGGCATCGGCCAGTAGTGCTCAGCTCGTTGTCGCTTTGCTCACTGGTACGACCAACTTCCCCTAGTGGGAGGACTACCGCTGTCCTCATATTTGGTCTCAGACCAAGTTGAGCAGGGAATTGAGAGACCGAGACCTTTATGCAATGCCGGATATTGAACTGATGCGTGGCAAATGTGGGCCGTTCGCTTTTGACACGACACCATATGCGCAGTGCGCAAACATTTTCTCATGAGAGTCATCTTCCTTGCGATCTCTCACTGTGGCTTGCTGACAGTCGAGATAGGCAGGTTTTCATCTTCATTGCCGACGTCTCTTTTCAGGCTCGAAAAGTGTCAGTGAACAAAGGTGAGTCCATTTCCCGCTTGCGAAATATCCTCGTCGCCAAAATACCGGCGCGCGACCAGTGAGCTTAGCTCGAGTACCGCTCTGCTCGTGGTTCGGGGCTCAACCTGAGATCGAAAGATTCCGCCATGCCGAAGATCATGCTGCGTAACTTAGATGTGTCGTTCGATTCCACACGGTCGCATGCTTCTCTACGCTGACATTTTTTCGCGGAAGCCCCATCACTGTATCGTCGCAGTCGTGGCCTCGCTGACCATGAGCGCAGATGAAAGTTGCTTCCCGTCCTCGCCGCGGTTCTTCAACGGCAGATGTTGGCACCAGCTTTGTCGGTCAAGGTATGTCTCTTCATCTAACCTCCTTCCGCTCTGTTCAGCACGGAGCAATGGCATTCCTACTAGAGACTGGTTCGGTCAATCACCTTTCTCTTCCATTCGTTGCCTAGATCAACTGCGTCATTCTGAGAAGCGCCTCTGATTTCCATTGCACGAGGTCGCGAGTTGGACGCGCACATCCGAACTCAGCATTTTCAAAAGCGGTTGGGGATCACTGGCTGACTTCGAAGCAGTCGTGGAACAGGTACCGAAATCTACTCTCGACACCCCAACGCCATACCCATCGTACGTGCCCTGTAGTCCCCACATCTTCCTTCCTTCCTTCCTCCCTTTCACAAACACATACGAGGTGAGACCTTCCCCGGTCCTCGCATCTCAACAACACGGCCTACGTGGTCTGAGCGACTCGACCTATGGTGACGTCGCTCGGCGGGTTGCCCGGCCGGAGATTATAGAATGGCTACCTGCGCCACCAAAGGAGCATCCCATCCTGAGGCGTGGATGAGGGTGCTTGTATTTGGCGCAACATTCGTTCATCATCTGTGTGACTGCTTAGTGAACAGGAAGCTGACGGTGGGCAGGTCGCGGGTGGGGTCACGGGTGGCAGGACTCCTCGGAGCTCACGGTCTTTCAGGGCTTTTCGCTGCGGGTGAGTCTTCCAATTTTATTCCGCTTGCGTCGCACCTCTTTTGTGTTTTCCGATCCTTGGTGCGTCGCACTACCGGCATGCCGTGACCGAGCGACTCGACCTGTGGAGACGTCGCTCGGCGGTTTTGTCCAGCCGGAGATTATGGAATGGCCACCTGGCGTCGATACCGCCTGTGCTGCTGCAGCGGTGGTGCATCTCGTCCAGTTTATGGATAATGGTGCTGGCATCTGATCCCAACATTTCTTTCGTATCTAACTGCATGAGTTGAGGGCAGCTGACGCTAACAAGCGGCGGCAGGTTGTACTAGTATGGCAGCACATGGAGTCCAAGTTCCTGTGGGACCTTGTCAAACGGTACGTCATTTAGCTTCGTCCTGAGATTTGTTTGTAGCACTATCTTCGCATGTTTTTTGTAACAAGGATCCTTGGTGCAATGCACCACCGGCATCATTTGACAATCTGAGCGACTCGACCTATGGAGACGTCGTGCAGAACGTTAGATGCCGGAGATTGAAAGTAGGCCTTCGTGCCGCGCCGTGATAAGGTAAGGCATCGCATCCGAGCTGTGGATGATGGTGCTCTTGCGATTGGCGCTACATTTCTTCTTGTGGCCTTTGGCGTTGATTTGTCCCTTTGCGCGTTCAACATGTATAGTACAATAGCTGATGGCGTACAGGGATTATGAGAGCTGTTTGGTCAGAGATCCAGAGCAGTAGAACATGGGTAGCTAAATTCATGGCTCAGTACTCTATCTTGGCTCCCACTGGTGATCCAGAGCCTCTACCCTGAGCACAATGTGACCTTTTTCAATCATGGTAAGTCCGATCAAACGATTAATTTCTGCAGCCGTTCGTTACTTTACTACATGTCTTACCAAGCGAGGCTCTTGCTGTAAGCCGGATAGATCTTCCGAGCAGTCCCAGCGTGCATAGCTGAGTCTGGCTCTCCGCCTCCAGACTGAGAAGAATAGGCATCGGCTGTGTGCAGCAAGGCTTGGATGCAAGTTCTGGGAAAAACCTTCATGCTGACGATCAAAGTCTCAGGTGCTAGGTCCAGCCCTCGCGAGGTCCTCGCACACCCCTCCTACCTTATCCTCCCTCGTCCTCCCACGAAGCGCACGGCATCAGGCCAAGAGGAGGCGTCAGCACCCAGGCTGGGCGGAGGAGACACATGGTACAAGGAGCGCTGTTGGACAAGCCGGCCAGGTGGTGGAGACAGCAATAACACACGCGTTGGAGACTGAACCAGGGGGAACACGTTGCAGGTCACCGCCAAAAACCTGACTCCCTCTTCCTTCGAAAGCCTGTTCAGGCGTACTTCCACAGTTTCCGCCACCCAGCGATCATGTGTCAGCAGAAGGGTGCGGTATGATCATGGACGCGGACATAATATCACACGTCCTAGTGAACGTCAAAGTAGGCGGCAGTCTTCCCTTTTCTTTTGTCCCGTTTTTTGCACCATCACTTTATACAAGATAGGCACAGCATATTCAGGATCCAGCTTCGCGTCCCATGCAGAGATCTGAAGTTTCGTGCCGAGAACGAATCTGCATCCAAAACCTCAAGCCGCTATCGCGCCCTGCTTGAGCGGCTTGATCAGGATCTTGCGGACATGCTTCGCGGCACCACTCATCTTGTCATTACTTTCCGAGACGCTAATCTGGCCTACGACGGATTCGCTGACTCGATGACAGGTCACGGCTCCTTGCAGCCTCAAAGGTCTTCGCTGGCAAGCGGCCTTGGCGACGGCCAAGTCCAGTGAGGTACGTCGCCTGTTTTGCCTTTTCTTTCGCATCAACATGATTGGATTTTCCACAATCAACTGCAGCGCTGTTTTCTGTACTACTCTCTTGTCACTACTGGCTCGTCAAAGTCTGGCTTGATGCTTCCATCATCTTGCTAGCACAGAAAGATGCCGGAGATTGATTTCTTGCACCTGAAAACGGCGTTCCTTCGCGAGGTTTGGACTGAACGCAAGAGCAGGCGCGGACAAAGTTCTGCAGAACCCATGGCGCCACTTGAACGGCTTGAAGAAGTGACGCTGATCGATGTTCACAGTTCGATGACTACTCCATCCACGAGCTTTGTTTGATAGGTCGGTGCCACCGTGTCATGAGCCGCCTCGATGCTGCATTCTCTTTCTGCTGCGAGCAGCATTGTAGCGGCG